GATATATTTCATACTTCTTTTAATATTTTACTGTCATTTAACATGAATCAAATAAATCTCTAACATAAATACAATCGGGCATTAAAAATAATGTATATATTATAGGGATGTCTCTATAATATATAGCTTATATTTTCTGCTCGCTGACCGTCTGGCAAATCAGCATAAAGTAAAATTGTATACTTTCAAGTCTTACTCCAAATAGATAAATCAATAGTAATACTAACTCCTGCCATAGGCTGCATGGCAAATGCAAATAGATGATTCTCAATAGCTTGCGATGTTTCAGCGTTCTCTCATTCATAATACTTATATTATTAATTATAGTTATATTATAGCAGCCATAGCCTGCATCAGTCTTGAGCCAAGACACCAAAAATAAACTCACCTGATATTAAAGCCTGTTTGCTTGTCGCTTTCAAGTTTACAAAGGAATCTGAAAAAGTTAAATAATGCCCGAGCACAATGCATCAATATGAAAATAAAGGTCAACTAATAAATTTATATTAATGTCACTTAAGTATTCAGCTGTCCCATTAACTCTAACAAGTATGCTTTTCGAAATTTGCCACTAATTCTAATTTCCATTTATCAACTTTGTTATTCTAAGGTCTATTCATCACTTGTTGTCTGCAGGGTTTTATAATTTTCTTTTTAATCAATTTCCCAAAATAATTTGAACACTTGCTATCCAATTATATATGAACGAATTAAGTATGCAAAATGTACTTGATGATTTATTACCTTTAGCCACGTTCGCATATATGGGCCACAATGTTATGACCATCTATCATTATGCTGCGCTCCACATGTAAAGTACATTTCGAGTGCGTGCTGATAGCTTTGCACTCACGTGCTCTTAGCAGAGTTAGACGGCTTTTCTTTTCCCTTTTTTTCAATGACTACTTTAAGAGAAAAATATTTCAATGCTTCAACTTACAAGTTTCACGTAGTCACAGCAAGCTCTAATCGTGGCCGAGTTGCCTCAAGTGTTTCAAGCAATTAGTTGTTGCAGCTGCAAATGCGTGTCAATTGGTTTGAGTCGAGAGCATGGCTTAGTGGAACTGATGCTGACTTGTCCACTGGAAATGTTGTTACCTGCAGCGCAGCTGAGCCACAAGCGATTACCAATAACTGAATTGGACTAAAGTTGCAATTGTTTGCCAACGGCTGAATGGCTGCAACCACACACAGCGCTCAGGTTCTGTGAGGCATCACGACGTCGCGTAGCCTGCCAACTTCAAATCGAAACTGACCACAAAACATTTTCTGTTTGAACTTTATGCAGCAGAAGGCAATGGCGATAGCGGTCTGACGCTTACGACGCGGCGCGACGCGACGTTGGCAGCGACGTCAACTACAAAATAATAACAATAAAAAATCAAAGGCAGTAAAAACCAAAAAAAAAAACACGAATCCAAACCAGTCAAAAGCCAATGCAAATAGGTGTTTATGTCTGTGTGTGTGTGTGTGAGATTCTTAGCCCAAGGGCTTGGCATCGTTGCAAAAGAACTTATGGCCGAGTTGTTGCTCGTCGCTTGTTGTTGCCATCGTTGTTTGTGCTGTGCTAATTTGTATTTGCGGCACTCGCATATCAAGGGGCAGGCAACTAGCAACTGGCAACTGGCAGCTGATGTTGCCATTGTAGCAGCTGTGTAGCTGTTACGACTCGGTCCGGTCAGCGCGAAAAATGAAGTTGACCTGCTTTCAGCCGAGCCTAACTAAAGCGGAGCCAACGCGTCGAAAACTGGAACAAAACACACACAGCAAAACACTTCCGAGCAAATTTACATAGGCTCGGCCGAAGAAATTATGCATGCGGCTGTTGATATTGAAATGCCGAACAGGTTAAACTCCGTGCCGCCCACTCGATAGTGAAATGGAAGTGGAGCCAGCGGCGAAGCAAGTTTCACTTTCGTCTACCAGCGCCCGTTTGCAGACCATAAACACGTAAGGCACGAAGAGCAAACAAAATAAATACACTAAACCGGAATGGGATGGGACTGCGACGTCGACGTCGACTTCGAAAACCAGTGCCAACGCCAGCGTCAACGCCAACGACAATAACAACAACATGCAAATCTGACTGAGTCAGAGAGTCCGCACACTCGCAGATGTGTTTGTATGGTTAGTGCAGCTGTTGGGTATTGGTGCTGCTGGCGCTGCTGACGTCGACGTCGCAGGAAGTTGTTACGGCAAAGAGGGTCTGGTTGGGCGGCAACCTTTGTGGGTCAAAGCGTCGTTAAAAAACGGCTTGGCATAACTGTGCCAACGTGTGGCATTTGCCAAAGTCAAACGCATTGGCCGAGGCAGCAACAATGTGGCAGACGCCCTAATTTAGACCACGAATAAATCAGTGAGCGTCGTGGCTAACGACGAGAACTTGGCACAAATCCATTAACACTCACATTTTAGTTGTCGCATGCTAGGCACAAATAATTGAAGTCTATTTGGATAAACTTGGCCAACATGCAAGTAAGCCAAGCCAAGCCAAGCCTTAGCTGCAAGCCCAAGACAACAGCTGAGTGAATAAACCTCTGTCTGGCAGCCTGGCAGCCTGGGCCGTTGTTCATGTTAACAAAACGAACTTTTAATAAATTCATTACGCTGGCAATTTACGACACTGGCAAACAGACGCCCACACGTACACACACACGACAAGCTGCTCACTGCATTGCTTTAATGCAATGCCTGACATTACGTATACGCCCCATACATTTATGGACAATCAAGTTTATGGCCATAGAAGCATGCTTTTATGTGTGGATCCGGAGAACTGCTCTGTTTATCGTCACTTTGCACTTCTCCTTGACTTTTCTAAGATATTTTCAAATCGAACACGTGTGCGTGTGTGTGTATGTGTCACGCCTTGAATTGTGGTTGGGTGGCGCCTATGGATGCAAGCGTGCTATAAGTCCTTGTTTTATTGCTGTTGTGCATATAGAACTCAAAAGGGAAGCACTAACCAGTGCATCAAGGTTACAGAAAATGTGAAAACAAACAAATGCCAATCAATTTTTTTCTTTTTGGCCACTAACTTGAAATAACTTTTGAGTTCGATGTGTCAACAAAGAGTTGGCCATAAATTTTATTTTATTTTAAATAACTATACATTAAATTCCATTTTAAGCCAGTTGTTAAACATTCCATCCAAAAGTTGAAAGCATATCATTTTTTTGCCAAAAGTTTGTTCACAAAATTCGATAAATGATGATAAATCTTGTTTATTAAATTACGATTTATAGCGCGCAAGAAAGTTGCTGCGAATTTTAAGCGACATGACTCAATTGAAACTTCATTATATTTTAGTCGAGCTTCTCCATTTTACCAATTAGAAAATAGTTTGCCAGATATATTTTATTTCTTTATTTAAAGAAATAAGTCTGAAATGACTTACAAAACCCTACTGAGATAAACACTCAATATGACTATACATGCATCACCAATGATGCGTCATGATTTTCTCGCTTAAGTTCAGCTTGCCCTGGGAATAACATAGACGCTGATGGGGTCGTTGACGTGAATATTTCTATTGCATTGGGGCCGACTTACTGAGCCAAAGGCAAAGCAACAAAGCCAATTGCTATATAATACAAGCGTTTTAATAAAACGCTTTTAATTGCCGCTTTGCGACACAGTCGCAAATAATTGTGCCTCCCATTAACATAATTTTGGCAATCATTGCGCAAGGTCAACATTTTGGCCATCTCAAGGACAGCGTATGCTTTTGTGGACCAAAGAAAATAACCAAATTTACTAAATGCGCCTGATTTTATCTTAAAATTAAATAAATTACTGCACACGTCGCAACCAACTGACCCAAATTTGATATATATATATATATATATATATATATATATATAATAAATACAGACATTTGCAGGTACAAAATTGTTCCGAGAATGAAAATCAGAATGAAAATGTCGACTACATCAAACGCAGACCCTGAAACTGCAAGCTGATTACCGCTAATTGTGCCCAAGGAAATTGAAATTAAACAAGCCAGACCCAGAGCCAAATCCTCTGGCCCTGCCGACCTTAACTCAGGGCAGCAAATTTATTTATATATTTTTGCAGTATGCCTTTGAAATTAAATGAGGACATTTCCTTTTTGCTGACTGTATTAAGACTCATTTGCATCAAAGAAACTTGTTACCAAAAAAATTAGAAGGGCAGAAAAACTAAAAGAAAGCATATATTTGTACGAAATATAACATCTGCTAACCTCTCATCACTATGTCTTCAATATTTTTTTTATTATTCTGGCCAAGTGCCATGTTTTCTTAAAAATCGAAGCTTCTTTTTGCTCTGACAAAATTAGGAATAAATGAGGAATACATGTATAATATTCTTATTAAACAGTTCGAGAGCAAAGAACCTTCTTTGCTATAATGTCTATAATACAAAAATTATGCTAAACATATAAAACATCTTTCTGAGCACAAAGAATAGATGCTTCAATAGCCATATCCATATCTTATATTAAATTAAATTAAATATTAAATATAAATTATAAAAACTCTGCTTTAAAAGGTATTTGAGAGGTTGATACCTTTAACGTTGTAACACTACTTTATTTAATAATTAGTTTAAAAGGTAATAGTTACTTATTATTACATTTATCTCCAAGAGACCCTACCCAACCAAAACAATGCAAATTATTGAAATTTGTATCAAAACAGGTGTTATATTCATCAGAATTATCGTGCACTTTATATAATGATAATGTTTCATGGTTGGGTACTTAAATAAGCAGAATTATCACATTTCTGAGAAAACGAATATCCACTCGCTTTAGTCGTACAAAAAGTTACTGTTTGTGGGGCTTAATGAGCTAACGGAATCATTGATTCAAATATCTATGTGTCAAGATAATAGTTGCAGTGCCAGATTCTTATAAACAAATTATTCACGTGCGATTCTTCTGCAGGTGCCGAATCTTTTTCTGTTTTCTGAAGAAATGGAATAGAAAAAATCATCAATGAAGCCGGCGATGAAGTCGTTGTCAGCATTCGATGTAATTTGTATTTAAAAAAATTAAATTTAGACACTTAGACAGCTGACATTGAAGGAGTTGGATCGAAAATGGCTCAGGTAGGCTGTGAAAAGGTACTTCCCGATCAAATCAGTTCATAAACACATTTTTATTTTATATCTGTTAAGGGTAACCAAATTTCTGTACTAAGAAAAATGTTCGGCTTGGGTAAAAAGAGACCCGAAAATTCGTACATAGTGCCACAGAACTCGAAAATCAATTTAGAAAACAAACCAGCCTATAAAGATCACGTTACGAATCTGAAGGAAAACAACTACGACCGCAACGTCATGAATAAGTGTCCGCATTGTGAAAATATGGCCAAAAACTTTCTTTACTTGGAAAGCCTGATACGCAACAATTGCGATAAGAATCCGAAGTGCAGCTTGTGCCAATCGTCCCTCAAGTACCTGCAGTATGTGAACCGGAACATAATGCAAGTCTTTGGGAATTTTGATTCGATTGTGCAGGCTGCACGCGTCTTTTCCACCCAAGTGCCACCAACGCCCAAATACACGGTGAAGAAGCCCCCCTCGAAAGATGAGAAATCGGCACGTTCCGAAGGTGGGGCTCATCTTGTTGCACAGAAATCCAGAAAATCTCTGAAGCCAGTCAAATCGCAGAAGTCCAAAAAATCGATCAAATCATCGAAATCGGGCAAGACCCTAACAAAGTCAAAAGCCAAGACCGCCGCGAGTACAAAGAGTCGTACAGGCCACGGCAAGATGGTTCTCAAGAGCAAGTACAAGTCTAAACCGACAAAGTCAGCGAAATTGAGCAAGCAATTAAACAAGGTAGTCCGCAGTGCTAGCCAGTACCAAAACTTACGTTCGATGCGCTCAAAACTGGCTACAAAGGCACATAAAACAAAGAAGCAGCGCAGCACAGCATCGCCCACCAGCATTAACTGGAGCCTACTTAAACGCAATATGCCCACCAAGTCTTTCGGTGTATAGTAAATTGCAGAAATAAGTTGACCTACTACAAGGCCAGACACATATCATATACTCTTGAGCTGTACCAAAATTAACCGTGAACCAAATGTAATAGATCTTTGAAAAAATAAATATTAATAGAAACCGTATACTTCAGATTTTAAGCAAAATAATTTCGTCTTATTTGTTTTACACAAATTTAAACAATACTTGTCTCGTCGGTCATATTGAATAAGCGTACGACAGATAAATGTTTATCTGAGATTAAATTAGCAACCTTGTTTCAAGTTCACTAAAATAAAATATCCAGATCTAAATTCCGAGTTTGTCGAAAGATAAATAATCTTTTGATATATTATTTTAGAATTCGCTTTTTACTTTCGCATAGAAATAAAACTGCACAGCAGCATCAATTCGTTTCCTGTTTGCAGGACATATATACCACACCAACCTTATTGCCAGCAAAATTCCCGTCTCTAGCTTAGTTGAAAACAAATAAAATTCATCTGATTTTTAAATCACAAAATAAAATATCCAGATCAGAATTCTGACTTTATCTTCGAAAGAAAATGAAGTATAAATAGTATTTCATGGAATCGTACATGATTGTAAGCCTGGTTTTTCTCAATAACAGTGCCAATGTTCTATACAAAAGACATCAAATGTATAGGTATCTGGGTTAGATTTGAAATAGAAACTAAAAAAGTCAGATGCAAACTCTTTAATGTAAAATGATATTTGATTATGTATTTGTATAAAATTACATGCAAATTATTTTTACCTGGATGCAAAGGACATTTCACAAATTTCTTTTTTATTTTCCTAGCAACAGGAAATTTGCTTAAAGGTTGTGTTTTGCTTAACAGTTGTGAATATTTGGCTACCCTAAGAGCACTGAAAATATCTAAAAAGGTTAGGAAGCGTTAGGAATGGCCAATCCTAAGAGAGTTGAGATCATGTCATTTTCAATAATAGGCGCTGCGAAAGTATTCACAGATGAATTCTATGTATACTCTTTTCAGCCATTGCCTCAAAATATTGCTGGAAAACTAAATAATTTTAAATGGAAAGCAAACACCGAAGGTATTTTAATACTTTGGAACACCTAGGATATCTGTTAGTCAGGCATTAGAGGAATTAAAGCTATGTATGTTGGCTAGGCAAAGCGGCTGTGGGTTATTAAATGATATTTTTATTCTATTTTGTATTTTTACCCAGAAGGACAAACAAGTGACTTTGATTTTGAAGCTAACGACCAGCCAAATATTTTGTCAATTTAAATTCGAGTGGTTGGCAAACGTCCATCGAGAGACCGGAGACCTGCTTCGACAAAAAACGCACAGACCATACAACTAGGCCAACTGACTTTCCCATTCCAGCAATCATAAGTTTGACAATTTTACGCCATACACCCACAAATATGCCGTATCCGCAGCTGTGGCCTCTAGTGGACGACCCTTCATTTGTTTATCCAGCCGCCGGTCATTCATATGTACTTTGTGGGGGTGTGCGTGTGTGTGTGTGCATTTTGCCTCGCTGGACATTTGGTTAAAACTTATTAGACACAAGTGTATTTAGCGCATATGTGCCTGGCTATGTGTAAATATCTGCGGGTCAGGCCCTCTCCTGGGCAACAAGCTTATAGGTAAACACATTCATATACAACGCACTTACATATACGTCCGGATAGCCACACAGTTTCTGTATATATGTCCGCATGGGAATTTACGAGCAACGCAACAGGAAAAACAAACTTTTACATTTCATAGCAGCGTGTGCAATTGACACAGAATGACTGTCATTTTAGAAAATTATGTAATTACACAACGAACTCCAGAACTTGCTAATAATTCAGATATTTAAATATTCATTATATTAAAATGATAAATAAATAATATTTAATAGTCTGGCAAACCTAAAATATAAAATGAAATCAGGCTAAATTCTCTATATAAACCAAACAATTATTTGACAAATTTGTTTAATTTCTACCATTTACGTAAGTTTACTAGTAAATTTACTACATTTGCCACACTCATAAATCTCTTATTGACACAAATATTTAATCTACTTGAACCCTAATCCTAATTAAAATAAACAGCATTTAGAGCTCTTTAGATGTTTAATATAAAAAATTGAAGATATCGACATAAAAAGGCAAATTACTGAAGTGAATTCCGTCAATTAAGTATTCTTAATTTAAATATCTATTTCTAGATATACAAATTTAAAAAGTCAATTTTAAAGTCCTCTTGAAGCGTGTGCAGACTAAGAGCATTGAGGGTACGTCTGAACTCTGAACAAAATAATATTTTTGCTGATATTGTGGAACCGAGCCCCAACAATGGTGGCAGACCAAAAACTGTGTGACACTGCCGCACAATTCCTTTGTAATTAGATAACGCAACAAAGCAGCAACATGGCAACCACAGCATTTCCGCTGCCGGAACGTTTCAATCGTCGCGCTTGAGCTGCTTGGCCAGACCCACGCACTCTGCTTCGCTCGGCCGTGCTACGCATAATATGCCAGGCCCAGCCCCACTCGCTGGGCTCGCAGCTGATGTGCGCTGCACTTTTGGTACATTTTCATTTGGCGCAAAACGTTGAGAGCATTTTCTGATTATTTTGCAAAATCGCAACGTTTACCGTTGCCATTGGCAGCATAATAGGCCGCACGCCGCCCGCCATCTACTTCCACTGCCCCAGGCCCACGAAGCACGTTTGTCGTTGCGATTTCAATCGCTGCATTTCTCTGAAACAATGTTTAATAGAGCTGACTATGGTTGAATAGATTGTGTGGGTTGACTTTGGGCTAAAGGAGATCTTGACTTAAAGCTCTGCAGCCAACTTGAAGCCATTTGGACTGCTAAACAGAGTCAGAAATGCGCTTAGACCTGACCCTTGGCCGATTAATGTTGTGGTCAGTGTTAAGAGCGACAGATGGAGAGGCCCTTTGCCTGTTGGCACGCAAATTTATCACGCTCAAGATGTTGTGCAAGACACTGCCCTCCAGCTGAAGCTTTGCGTGCCACAATGCTGTTGCAGGAAGAGCTTAGTTGGCAGCTCCATCTGGCCACTGCCAAGCCATAATTAGCCGCTCAGCGCAGAGTGTGTGGGCGAGGGACGGCGACAAACAAATGGCTCACAAGCAGAAGATTTAGTGTGCTCTCATGCAACTAAACTTAATATTTCACGTGCATTTAACCTCCGGGTTTAAATGTCGTAATTTTCTCATTGGCATCCAGCAGCAGCAGCAGCAGCAGCATCAGTACCATCCTGAGGCATTGCACGAGTGTTTTACTGTCTCAAAGTTTGTCTCAATTACGTGCGTGCCAGACTGAGACAACTCGCTCCACTGGCCCCCAACAAAATATTAAGACTGCGATATGGTAGTAGAGCATTTCTCAGGGCATACCAAAGTTTCAGCTCGCCGCAGACGCCCCGCCCCCTCTGCGCCCTTTCCGTTTGTCATTGGCAACTTTTTAATTAAAAGTTTCATCCGAGTAATGGGATATTTGCACTACGAAATGCGATGTCGACCACGACGATACTGGCGCTACTGCTATTTGTGGGTGTCGCCAACGCCGGCTACGCTTGTGCTACGCTTGTGCCACGCTTGTGCCACTTTGGTCTTATTGGTTGCAAGTATCTAATTGCCAAAAGGATTTGCCTTACATAATGTTGCGCTGACCCTCATTCCCAGTTTTTTTTTTTATTGGCCGCCAAAAACTTTGCCCAGCCGCTGCCTAATACCAAACTATGCCCCGCTCAACGTGAGCCCAGTTAATGAGCGGCCAACGTCACGTGCGCAATTAATGAGCAGGCGTTTTAATTAAGGGGTCACCTCTCACTCTCTCTCTCTCTCTCTCTCTATCTGCTGCAATGATCGAGGTGGTAAATCTAGTTGTTGCCTCCGAATGGCAGCTACAACAAGCTAACAATTAATTTCGCTCGAGCTTACTGTGATTTTAAATTACGAGCCTAAAACACTGAAATGTCAGACAAGCACAATAATAATAATAAAAGCTGGGGATGTAGAATATATATTTTAAATAAAAATTTGATTTCGGTATTTTATATTCTGGTTACCAACATTAACAGCTATTGTCAAGCTACAGTTATCTGACTGATGTCTACTTCTACAGCTTACTTGACCTTGATTAAAAGGCTATGAACATCTTCACAGATTGTAAATGACTCTTGATTGATCTATAAAATTGTTAAGTGTAACCAGTGCTCACATGCTGGGCGGCTGCCTAATCACTGCCGGATGTCCGCTCAAAAAATTGATTTTATTGTTTTCATTTCTGCCAGACGCTTATGCAAATTTAGTTCCTTTTGGCATGGCTCGTTTTATGCTGGTTTTTTTTTTCATCGTGCTGCATTCTTGTGGAGTTTGCTGTCAGCACTCCTCTTCAATCTCCTCATCCACTCGATCTGACATCCTTCCGCTGAGTAATCGTAGCCGGGGCCTAGAGGACATTGTGTGCTCCTGGTCAATCGTCGGCAGTGAATCTGAATAGTAAGGCCGCCTGTCCGTTTGTCAATCATTTGTTTCATTTGTTGTTTTTGTTCTTGTTGTTGTTTTTGTTGCTATTGTCCTCACGCCCCATACACAACGGCCAACAGAAAAAATACCAAATACCTTTTCCGTTTTCCTCACTCTCTTTTTGACTGCTGCTTGGTTTTGTTTCATTATTTTGGTTAGCAGCAGCACTAAGAACAGCTCGTTCGATTTCCATTGTTGTTTACACTGGTGATGACGACGCTTTTCAAACGCTTTCTTAATGGAAAACTGACCACTGATCGATTTGTTGACGTTTTCCACGGTTTATCTTCTCTCACGTCCTTTACTTTGGGAACTCCGACTATGCCACAAACTCCTTAAAGGCCCACCAAACAAAGCACAGATTATATTGATTAATTTTAAAATAATTTCGAGCTTCAAATAGCGAGTGTCTACTGTTTAAATGCCAAAAAGGGGACTTTACCTAATGGACCTATAATTGAATTTAGCTTATTGCAGTGTCTTAGAAGCGTATCTTGTATACGACATGGCCAGAACAACTTTCATTTCGTTTTATTGAGTGCTCTGTCGCATTGCTAATACGCACTGTGGTCGCTTTGAATAGATATTCCCTGGGCTCTCATAATCTTGTCCAAATGGCTTTTGTTCGAATGAAATAGTGTTGAATTTCTCCTCACAGACACACACACACATACACACGCACACACACACATGTAGAATGTCGAGCATCCTTAACAAATGCACGAAATGGCTTTTAAACGAGCCCGACGCCGTGCAGTCTGGCTGGCAGCGTCGCGGTCCTGCATCATCGCTTCGTTCAGCTGGCGCTGGCGCTGCCGTTGGCATGTGATGATTTGTTCGCACATAATGAAACTCATCAGCAGCTAGAACAGCAAGGCAGCCAGCGGTTGCGTGGAGTCTGGGGTTAAGGCGCAGGAGCACGGAGGTCGACTGTGCCATTGGATTTCGCGGCATGGCGTGAATTGGCTTGGCATAAATTCAAAAAATGTAGCTAGTAACAAAAATCCAGTTGGCAATGCTCGTCTTCAGAATGCTCTACACTTAAGTAACAAAGATATACATAAATCATGCAGTCGCCATTTGGTAGCCTCTATGAATTGCCAAACATATAATCGGGGAATATGCTCTAAGATAAGAATACTTATGTAAGATATATATTTACTCTGCCGTTTTAAAAACTTTTCCATTTTAACAGAACATTAAAAATATATAACCAATGCGACAGCGACGCTAAAAGAAAATATAGTAAAAGCATTTTACAGTTTCATTTTCATGGCTCAGCGCCGGCCGCACTCCAACGAGCATTTTTTTTTCAGCGATTTAATTTGAAGTGAGGCTGAACCATCAAAAAACTGCTTTTAAAATCAATTTGGCTTTTATTTTACTTGGGACTTGTGGCTTTTATTGCCCGCTTACCTCTTGCTGTCTGGACAGCTTTTCTTTTAGGGTTTCCCCTGGATCTCATATTTTTGCGCGGAACCACTCTCAGTCAGACATTAAATGGACGCATTCGCTGGCCTTTGTCAGCGACATCAACGAATGAAAAGCTGCCCATTCACTTGCGTAACATAATCCGTTTCAATGTTCAAATTCATAAAGAGAAATACACATACGTGTGCATATACAGATAAGTATGTTCTCATATTGACACAATCAGTGGAGTGAAATGAATTTAATTTACCTCCAACCCAACTGTATTTAGTCAGCAAATTCATTAGCAGTAACTTTCTGTGCCCCACAGACCGCAGCAGTTGTGCCTGCCACTAAAAATGAGGGCAATGCATTTATCCCGAGGGTTTCATACAAGCAACCAACCCAACCAACGGGTTGCCATGCGCTTGTTTTTGATGTGACGCTGATATTTAAAAGTGGAGTTTGAGCATCAAAGTTATGCGAGTGTGTGTGTGTGTGTGTGTGTGTATAGCAAACAGGACCATCATCATTATACACAACCTATTTATACCCTATAAGCGAACATATAAATGACTTAGCTGGCGTTTGGCAAACTCTGTAAGGAATTCTTGCTGGAATTATGTCGTGAACTAGAGTTTATTAAGAGATGGTCTAAATTCGAAATTAAAATAATTTTTTCAACATTACAATATCTAAATTTTTTATAAGTCTTTAAGGCTTGATTTGCATAAATAAAATACTTCACTCTCAGGATAATGCCAAATGAATTCCTTAACTGAATTGCAGACTGAAGATAGACAACAAGTCTCTTACTCTAGTCCGTCTACTGTCGCTTTTGTTATATAACAAGCTGTTCATTCCAAAATCAAATGGAGACAACTTGAAGTATTTTCTTACTACGCTCAGAGACTCGAAAACTGCTTCAAAACTTAACTACGCTATCATTTCAATATTTAACAGTCAAGAGCTGTGGCAGCAGAGCGACTAGATGCATTGCAGGGCATCGTTTAGCTGAGCACTAAGCAGCAAAGTATAACTTTTTTTTCTTTGTGTACTTGCGGTAATTGCGTAGCATTTTAAGCATGCTGGCAGCACTCACTGCTGCTGCTGCTGTTATTGCTGATGTTGCTTGCTACTGCTGCTGTTGCTGCTGCTGCTGCTGTTACTTGACACATGTCAGTCAGTCACTCAGTCACTCATTCCGTGCGCTTGGCTTTGGAGCGTGGCCAAGCGGAAGGCTCAGTAGCGCCAGCAAAAGGCATAGCAGCGCAGGGCGGTGAGTGGGCGTGAATCAGCTAGCGTGAATTTGACTTTGTGTACGAGCAACATTAAATGCACTTGCATCGCATTGCCTTGCCGCGTGTTGTTGTACTGTTTGATGCTGACAACAGCAATAATGCAGCACTTAATGTGCCAAATGTCTGTGTGTGTGTGTGTGTGTGTGTATGGCTGTGTGTGTGCCTGGCTTTGTATAGAATGTCCATTGCTGGCATTTGAAGCATTACCATTTAAACATCAAATATTACGCATACGCCCCGATGACTCGACGAATAGCACTTGGCCAGCAGAATTTTCATTGCCAGCTCACAATTTGCATATAATGCCACTGCCACAGACGTACGACCAAATAGATTTATGAACTCACAGCTTGGACCCAACGCGAACCACCTGGCAGCTTGTCAATCGCAACGTTGCCCTGATTTTGATGTGAACTTTGATGTTAATTTTGATGTTGAGTTATGGGCGCATAGCTAGCACATATACATATACCAGCTACCGAACGGAAATTACATTTCGCTTAGTTCGCAAACTCAGGTGAGCAATTAAAGCACGGCTGAGCGTTGGGCGGTGCCAACCGATGGCCTGGTATTAAACTTTGCCCATTGCATTAGAATCTGGCGCCGCTCGCAGGGCCGTGCATTAAAACAAAGCACACACTTTAAAGTATTTTTCTTAATTTGAATTTGAAGTTTGATCGATATGTGGCGCGGCATGTGGTGCGCACGAGCGCCCAGCCGCACCAAGTGGTGCAGACCAATCGGGCCAGGCATTAGAGGTCATGCGAGTGCCTGCGGGTCAGAATCATTTCAACGGCAATCGTCGCGCCGAGCTGTTGATTTGCGCCATCAATTGATTCGTTTCGCTCTGCGGTCGCATTTTTGTATACTGCATTTTAGCTGCGCTCATCCGGTCTATGGCCGCATGTGCATCCGATGCTGCGACTCTCGCTAGCAGTGATGAGGAGCTCACGCCTGTTGGCAGCCAGTCGAGCGCTCATCGCGACTACAGCGATGCACGCTTGGAGCGCGTGGCCACCTACACCACGACCACAATGCGTCTAAAGCCGGATAAATGGGCAAAAATGATGCTGCAGGATGAGTTGCGGGTGAGTTTTCTTTAGTTTCACACAATGCACACTAAATAGAGCTGGCCGATAATGCAGCACATTGTCATGGACTGGCTGCACGGACGGACGCGAGTTTTGGTCATGACGCTCAGCCCCGGCGGCGAACTTGTGCCCCGGGGCTGCATCAGCGATCTCTATCTGACTTATACGCTGCAGAGCAGCGGCGCCCGGACTAGTGCAACAAATGAATCCACTGCCACGGCCGCTGTGGTGGCGGCGGCAACAGCTGCTGGGGCATTGGTGGTGCCATTGCCGCCCGCCTCGTCCAGCTTCACCACACTGGATGGAGTGCCACGCGGCAAGTGCGCCTACTTCATACGCCACAATGTGGGTGTACCGCTGACAGCTGACAATTTCCAGAGCTCCGTGCTCTATGGTGACTTTCCGGTGCACAGCAAAATAGAGACAATGTCGCTGCTTTTCGACGAGGTGCTGCAGCCGCTGCTCGAGCGGGCTCAGGGCGTTTGGCCGTCGCCCGTGCGCAAGGATCTGCAGGCGCGCGTCAAGGAAGTGCGCAACACACTGACCGAGGTGGGTCCCAAGTCTTTTATCTCGCCATATTAATCTAATTGAGTGCAGCGAGGCGCACAGGGCCGCCATCAGGAAAGCGCCTGCCATTGTCCCAATGTATTTGGCTTAATTGGGCAAAGTTTTCATGTGTCTATAAGCGCTATTTATACTTTATTGTTATCCCCCACAGATTAAGGGCAAAACCAACAATCGCACAATTTTATCGTTATTAGTTGCGCCAACAGTCGTCGAGAAAGTGTCTGGCCACGTGAACCGGGGGTAAGTAGAAACCGTGGCCCAACTTTGGTCACACTCAATGGCCATTGTCTCAAGGGCTGTGTATTTCGTCCTTTACCCGCATCAGCTGCTGCGTCATCGCTGCTGGCTACGAGTGCTTGTTTATCTTGAGTTGAGACTGGGGCAGGGCCAGCGAAGTAATCATATAAATCGAACTGGCCTGGCAAACAACTTTATCGCATGATTTTGCGTAAATTTATTATATATTTTCAATAACTTGTTAAATGTCTCAAGTTGGCAACAAATTTTCAATTTGGCCAACATTTAAGCATCTCAAAGCAACAGAATCTTGATTTTGATTGCTTTTGCTGCATCCTTTGCTTTAATTAAAACCCAATACGACTAATTGCAAATGAATTTACCGAAGCTCTCTCAAAGCCAATATCGAGAAAGAATTCCTAACTGGAAAACCATTTAAATTAATCAGCATCAAATAGCAACCCATCAAAGTGAGACACGAATTGCTGCACAAATAAAGTCAGAGTCGTTTAGCCAAGGGTATTCGATGAACAAATACCCTGTTCACAAATCCAAGCTGAGCAAATTTTTAAAGAAAAAATTATAGAATTTGCATTAATTCGAATTAGACTTAAAATATTTAAATGAAGAGAAGGAATTTCAAAATGTTTCCTTCTAAAAAAGCATGTCTATTAATTTAATAATGCCTTTCACACCTCTTCCACACCTAAAAAAATGCTCTTGTACAGATTCGAGCTTTGTATATTTGTATTGAAAATTTACATTTAATAGACATTTGCTATATATGCCATATAAAGCGTGGTGATAAGCTTGTTCTTTGTTAATTCAATTTAAATACATTTTAGAAAATCATGAACGTCAAGCTGAGTTGTAAATGATATTCATCTTCGTTTTAGCAAAAAATATTCTGTAATTTGGTAGACATAGAAATTAAATTTGAGTATTAAATTTGGTCAGATAATAGCTCTCAAAATAGAAAAAATTTTATGTAAAACGAGCTGCCTGACACTGATGAAGAGACTAGATACTTTTACGGGGTAACAAAAAAAAATGTATAAGAGAAGAATTTTCATTTGTTCAACTATGAAAGCTTTTTCAATAAAAAAAATTGGAAAATTTAGGCTACAAACGGATGAATGTTCTTGTAACAGAATATAATAAAATTAACTAATAAACTATAATATTTTTCAAAGCCTTAAACAAACAAATTACAAACACTTTGGCCAAATATATTTCTAAATTAACTCAGGTGCAAAAATATTTATTCCAAAATAAGCTCAGCTGTCTATAAAGCCACAGAGCTGCCGCTGTTCGTCTGTTACATACAACAGCACAGTTACGTTATATACGTTTTACCCTTTCTATTATGGGTATTGACGAAAAACAGAAAATCCCATCATGGAAATCAGGCATTAAATCAAATAAATTTGGGTCAATTTTATATGCAATATTTTAGACAGCAGAGCAAAAACTGAAGCAACTAAATGAAATGGGGAAAATGCGCAAAACAGTAAAAGCAAGAGCAAGAGAGAGAGAGGGAGAGAGAGAGAGAGAGAGAGAGTAAACATGCTGGCAAATCGTTGCATGGCCAAGTGCAAATGCCTGAAAATTGGGTCAATAATTATTTTTCTTTTGCCCATTTCATTGAAAAAGTTGCGTTCAACTGTTGCGAAACTTGAATTGAAATTGGATTTGAGAATCTTTAAAGGGCAACAAATTTTAATTATCGTTGCATGGCAATCTAGCAATCTGGGCCCAGCCTTGGACTCGAAATTTCGTAATCCATTGGAGGAGATGTTCATCAATTGGACGACGCAGATGCACGACATTGTAATGGAGCGCTCCGAGTCCATGGGGCTAACCACTTGCACCACCACACCCACTAAGCATTTGTATGTAGTTACACTACCAGCTCAAGAGATTACGTTCTGGGCGAACCGCAAGCTCAATTTACAGAACATTTACGAGCAGCTGCGTGAGCCAATGCACAAGGCCCTGGCGCACATTCTGGAACGCATCGAGTCTGTCTACTATGAGCCATATGCAAAGGCATTTCGCCAGCTGGTGACCGCCTGGCTGGAGGCCCAGGATGTCTCACTCTGGCTGCAGCCCTTTCTGCGTCACACTGCCGCCTTCAACTCGGTGCAGTTCAGCAATGCGCAAGAGCTGATTGCGCCACTGGTCCATGTGCTGCACCTGCTGTGGAGCAATGCCCGCTTCTATCGAAGCACCCAAAGGATGAGCGTGCTGCTCAGCTGTATATGCAATTTGCTGGTGCATCGCGCCGCCGAGGACTTGGAGTTTCCGCTGCTCTTTCAAGGCGACGCCGACGAGGGCCTGCAACGGATCATGAAAACGGGCGAGGTACTGGAGTTTTTCAAGTAAGTGCCAAACACATCAGCTCAACAACACTCTTGACCATATATGGCTGCTCAGGCAACGCATGCTCGAATACAAGGAGCGCTATGCCAGCAGCCAAGTGCTGTTGCCAGCTTTGCCCAGCTCTTCAACGGCAGCAGCAGCAGCAGCAGCCACTTCCCCACCGCCGGACGACCAGCATCAGTTATGGCGCTTCTCTAACGAGCAAGTGTTTGGCCAAACACTTGATGGCTTCCTATTACAACTATCAGAGCTGCGTCACGTCTTTGAGGCGGCTGTGCAGTTTCAGCAGCTCGAAAAGCTCGAAATTGGTGGACTGCGCGGCAAGTTGCTAACGGACCGCATCAGAGAGGTAAATTTCCAGCTACGACTATCTTCGTGTATGTATTTAATTCTTTCCGCAGATCTACAACGAATTCAAACTGCTCTTCGAACAATGGACCAATGTGGACATTGACCTTGCAGCGCCAGTTGCCCACAAATGGAAATGCTTCAAGCGCGAGCAGCGGCTTTTCTTCCAGCGCATGCAGCAACTGGAGCAGAAGCTAGCCACAGTACTGCTGCAGGCCTTCGAACAGTGCAGCAGCTGGATGCACCTGCTCAAGCTGACACTGATGTTTGGCTGCCTGCTTCAGCGGCGAGCCGTTCAATCAGAGCTGATACACCTGCTGCCACACATGTTGAGCATCTACAACGCTGAGCTGCTGCAGCTGGAGCAGAGTGTGGCTGACGTGCTTTTCAACTATCAGTTTCACGGCCTCAAAGCGGTGCCCGTCGCTGGCAATTTTCCTCCCATAGCTGGCGCCATCATGTGGCTCGAGCAGCACTTACATCGCTGCGATGAGCTCGGCGCAAAAGATCTCATCGAACTCATTCAGACATTGTAAGCAGATGTAGTTGAAGTTTTGATTTGAAACCAAATATTTAGGAATTTACATTTCAACTCAGTAATTCCGAGCTTGAGTTAATTTCAAAGAAATTATTTAGCTTACATTCAAATCATCTTGATTTTGTATAAGAGCAATGTAAACATGAAACTCTAAACGTAAATCTCTAACAAAATATTAATAACAATTTCAAATTTCCTTGAGTTAAATATGATAGACTTTCATATGCGTTATGCTGCTATTACTCTAATCGAGGCAGTTCGAGTTATGCATTCTCCTTAAACTAACATAACTTGGCCAATGGTGAGGCCCATCAATGTTTTCATGCTTTGTTGCATGGACTGCATTTAGATATGAATATCTCAATTTCATATATATTTATATATTTTATAATAAACAATATCCTTTGCCAGACTCATATTGAAATCGGAGCTCGTGACGCTACCTTTCCAATGGGATGCCTTGGTCTCGCGTCGCAATATTCTGACCACAAAGTTGTGCAATCTGCAGCAAAAGATCTGGCATGGTTGGCAAGAGGACATAGACAGGATAATTGCTGAGGGGCTCAATGAGTACGTGCTGCTTCAGTCGGCAGCAGGTCAGCAGCTGCAGCTGAACTTCGCTCGGGCCCTGTTCACGCTGCTCAAGGAAACCAAATACTTACTCGCGCTTCAGGCTTCTGGCAGCCTGTCAAGCAAACTATTTCCAATGCCAGGGGCGCTGCTCTTGCTTTACGAGCAGCGCGACGCCTACTGGCAGCGTCGTATACGGCTCATCAAGATTGATGAGTTCTACAATGGCATCCGGGCAGGCCAATGTGCCGCAGCTGAGCTGCAGCTAATTGCCGCTGAACTAGCCACCATCGATGAGCAAGTGGTCACTGCCAGTGCTCAGCTAACTTGGCGTAACTATGGTAAGTGGATTATGTTCCGAAAAGCAAATTTTTAAGAGCTGCTCTCGTAGACGAGCCACTTATCGAGAGCATCTTTGAGAAATCACGCGATCTGCATGCCCGTCTGCATCAGTCTCACGGCAATCTGGACGCCATACTGGCCAGCATGCGCCGCTGGAGCTGCGAGCCACTGCATCAACGTAGTCTCTACGGACGCAATCTACTGGATCTGCGGCATCAGCAGGAGCGAGTGCGTCTGCGCCTGCTTCAATGTGATGAGACGAAGATGCTGCTAAATCGCTTGCTGATTGCCAACTTTTGTTTGTTGTTTAACTACGAAAGGCAACAGCTTCACTTATATGCCCGAGACCTCAGCGTCCACGAGGTGAGCCCTCCCTGTTGTGTCAACAATATTATTATTGTTACTATTGTATACTCTGCTGTTGACAGTTTGTGCACGAATTTCCGGATGAACAACGTCGACAGTTCAACAAATATTTAGCCACCGTTGATGAGTTGATTTGCCGTGAAGTAAGGCAGGCCATGAGGATCAGGTGGGAGCTCGAAAGTTGTTTAGGCGAAATTCTTTCACAGCACCCATACTATGTATTATGTTTACTATGTATATGAATTATTTCTATTTTTACTCAAAATATTGTATCCAAGTTAACACAGTATTTAATTTAGAGATTATTGGTTTAGTAGACTTGTAAGCATCCTAATGGAAGCCTCAATCATATATATAAAATATATAAATTGATTACTCAAGCAATGAAAATCTTTTCCGCTTTATACTATTAATTTTGGCTCAGCTTTAGCTGTATTTAATTAAAAATAAATCAGCAAATAAAAAAAAGAGTAAAATAAATTGTAAAATCTTCGCATAGCTGATATCTAATGCTGTGTGAAGAGCTTCTCTTGCTTGCTATGTAAACTGTTCTTTAGTTAAGCTAGACATACATCACAACTCTCACACACCCTTGACAACAGATTGGTTACATGCCAACATCAGCTAATACTCATCATTATAAAACTATCGCTTTCATCAGACTTTTCAGGCAGCACCTGTTTTAAAAAGCAACGTGATAAATAAAGCAACTCACTTAACTATTGTCACGCCCAGTCATGCAATCATATAAGCCGGCCAGCCAGCCAGCCAGCCTGCCAACCACCCACCGAGCGAGCAACAAATATATTCATTACATACTGGCATGCTGCCAGCGCCTTTCATGTCTCATCAAAACTAATCAAGTAAATGAACACGAATTTATAACTCACCCGCACAGCCAACCGCAAGACTGGCAGACACCTTCACCAGCACCGACCGCAGCAAACACATATATATATATATATATATATATATATATATATATATATATATATATATATAAATAACAACGATTACACCAACAATAAGAGCAACTACATTTTTGCTGCTGGCAGCGCATTCATGCGTCAATTGCATGTTTCACTTAACGGCACTTCGTGATTGCAAGCAGAGTCCTCAGCGGCAGCGGTAGCAGCAGCAGCAGCGTCCTCAGAAAACGCAAACGAAATAAGCACAAAACAAACTCAGCACTAAATTTAATTTTCGCAATACTCATACGCCGTGTAATTCAGTTTAGAGTATTTGCACAAGGAAATGACAGGAACTGCAACAACGACAACAACTAGTGCAGCTAAGGCAACTACAACAGCGCCCCCGACTTCAAGTATCGCCTTGCCAAGCATGGCTAGGTTGGTGCTACAACAAATCACAGCGCCACAAGCGACAGCGAGAATAATACCAACAACAACAACAGCAAGCGAAACAACCTCAGCCGCAGCAATAGCAATCGGAACAACAGCAACAAACGATGCACCGCTTTTCGAAGTGAAATTGGAGCTGACGGAAACGGAAATACGTTTTTCGCCTGCCTTTGATGCAAGTGTGGAAAATAATTTTCAACAAATTGTCGAGCAGCTGTTGCTGGATATAAAACAGACATGCGACTCCATGCCAAGAATTGTGTCTGACAATTCGCTGTCTGACGACGACGATGACGCTGCTAGGACCGAGGGTAAGTTCATGCAGCAAGTTTGCTATGCACCAGCCGTCGCATTGCAGTGGGTGGCGCCTTTCGCGCCACGCCACGCCATGCTAGGCGTGTTGCATTCTTTGCATTTGCTTATGCCACCAACTACATTCGCAGCTGCAGTCGATGACTTGGAAATGCTTTGCGCCAGCATACGCGATGCCTTGAGTCAAACGGTGCAGACGGCGTTGAATTATGCTGCCAAATTCCACGCCTATGCGTTCCTTTGGACACAGCAGAGCGGCGACGTACTGGCATCCTGCATGCAGACGGCGCGCGAACAAACGACCCACATCAGCGGCAGCGGCTATGCCATCATGGAGACTTTCAAAAAGGAGGTAAGACGGACAGAAAAAAAAAGACTACGAAAAAACCTAAATGTGAAAGCCCAAAGCACGAGGCAGCAGCTTGCCAAGCCGGCCACACTGATGTGCCCACGCACACAGACAGCCTAACAGTTGAGCCGCCGACCAGCTAGAGGGCTGGCAGACAGATGGAAGCACAAGTGACCGAGTGGCTCGCCGGGTCACTCAATTGGCAACCACACAATTTACGTTGTGTAACCCCTGAGACCAATAACGCTTGATAAATGTTGACCATTTAGGGTCAAATGTGTGGCCGAATCGGCCATCGAGCCATCTAGCTGGCCTTGCCCAAATCTGGATAGAGCCTAACATGCTTAACCACATGGCGCCTGTGACTTATGCCGAATAGCAGAACGATTCAGTTCTGTGAATACTGTGCGAGCAGGCAAATCGCTTGCGTATGCGTAATATTTTCTTTAAACAATTATCAAACGCCCCAGAAAGTATGCAATAAATAACATAAAGACGCCGTAGCACACACACACGCAGCCAACAGCTAACAAAAAAGGCAGAGCAGAACAACAAATCATGGCCGAAATGCACATGTACATACAGCGTGAGGCTGTAAATTGAGTGCCACAATAAAATGCCAGAAATTTACCAAAATATATATGATTTCCCTTTCACAACGAATCTCGATTATGCTTTGTTTTCATATATACCAAAAAACTAACTATTCATTTTTGCTTAAAGGAATAAATATTCAGTCTCCTTGGCACGAATATGTTCGATGCATTTCCTATTTTTATGAAGTCCAAAAACCAAATCAAAAAACATTTTTAATATAGAAAAAAAATAAAATACTAATAATAAAATATTGAAAACAATAAATAAATAAATATTCTTATATATATAATGAATATATATATATTGAAAAATAAACAATTTAAAAATTTGAGAAATAAAAAATTTGCCATAACTGCATAACAAAAAAATTAATATAAATAAACAAATTATTTATGAAACTTGTGTTTCTAAAATTACGAAAAATTCGTATTGAATTTTCTACCAAAAAATTGAATTTTTTAATATATAATTAAATAATATCTTATTTTTATTTAAAAAAAAAAGAATAGAGCAAAGGCATTACAATTTCTTTTCGCATAAGAAAACTATTTAATATTTAATACATAATTAAATAATATCTTATTTTTATTTAAAAAAAAAAAAGAAGAGAGCAAAGGCATTACAATTTCTTTTCGCATAAGAAAAATATTTAATAATATTTATTTATTTATTTATATTTATTGACATTTAATAATTTTAATTATAAATTCTCAAAATGTCGCAGAAATATATTTTTAAAACATATTAAATACTTATAAAAGACAATATACTCCATTAGAGCTTTAGTAGATACAGTCGATAGTTTGGCTAGAGTCTAAATTTGCATACAAATGCAGTTAAGAGACGTTTGGCCGTATGCATAAGGTAGACATGGGAAGCGTATTACCCTAACAAGCTAAGGGCAGCTGAAATCACTGACCGGCATTTTATTTATGAGCGGCAATTGCGAGTCGCTTCAGGCGCAGCTGGTGCGCTTAATAAACGCTACGCCTGGACGTAGTCTGAATATACGAGTAAATGGCACACGAATTGGGCTTTCGGCCACGCACACACATATGCGCTAAATTAGCTTGAATAAATTTCGGTTTAGTCCAGGCAAATGAAGTTGTCAACGCCCCGAACATCTTTGCTGAATCTCATCTGCAGATCGAGCGCTACAACGAGCTGCACGATACGATTGACCAATGCGAGGATGGGCACTGCCTGAACGGCTGGCTGGCTCTGGATCTGAAGCCGCTCAAACACGGCTTGCTCAATCTGGCCTGCAAGTGGTCGCATCTGCACAAGCAGTGGCTACTGCGCTATGTGCAGAAAACGCTTCAGGTGAGCTCAGCGAAATAATGCCCCAAAAAATACGCTATCAAAAAGTTAATTTGTTTGAACAGGAGCTAAACGGTTTCATTGCGCTCAGCCATGAGACCCTGCAGCTGCACATTGGTCGGCAAGACTTTAAGGCGCTGTTGCGCGTGCTGTCTGTCATGGCAGAGATACGACAGCGGGAGCCGTATGCGGACAATGTCTTTAAGCCGCTTAAGGACATCGTTGCGCTTTTAAGGACCTACAATGTGGAGTTCGAGGCGCAGCTGGTGCGCAACATTGAACAGCTGCCGCTGCTGTGGCAGCAACTGAAGCAACAAGCTCAGGCCAAGCACGAGGCTCTCCAGGACACGCGCTACTATCAACAGCAACGCGTAACGGCGCTCATTGGGCTGCATACGTGCCACGTGCAGCATTATGCGAAACAGTTCCAGCGCATGCCGGTAAGCGTAACTCTCCAGTCAGCATCAACTTTGGTTTCCCCAGCATTAGCGCTGCCTCACACTCCCCACTTCCTCCAGTTCTTTTGTGTGCCATGTCCACAAATTTACGATGCCTGCGACCAGGTGTACGTGCGTCTTCATCGATTTGGCAGACAACAGCGGCGCTACGCGCGCTGGGCCCGGCTGCTGGATATAGCCGAACCCGACACAAACACATTAGAGCACTGCAGGGCGGAGCTTAGACGTGTAAAGGTAAGCAGGATGTCAACCGTGTTTGGCCGCTTTTATGTGTGACAAATTCTGTGCCGCCCGCAGCAATTGTGGGACTTTGTGCGCGTCATCGAATCCTGCATTGTTGACTGGCATGCAACACCTTGGCTGCACATCGATACGGACGACATGGAGCATGAGTGCAAGAAGTTCACGCGCGATTTGCGCACACTTGATAAGTGCATCAGAGACTGGGCCCCCTATGTTTATATTGTGGGCGTTTTGCGTGAACTGGTTGCCTCGCTGCGAGCCGTGACCGAGCTCCAAAATCCAGCAATTACCGAACGCCATTGGCTAGAGTTGATGCAACTGTCCCAGGTAAGCCGAGCGAGAAATCAGCGCTGCTAATGCTTAAAGTCAATAAGAGCAGCGCCACCAACAGCCGTCCGTTTCCATACCCGCATCCGCCATCCTGCCCATCCTGTCAAAGCTTCTCATTGCAATGCCAACTGATTGATCCACAAAGCAACATTTTACATTGCGCCCGGCCAATTGTATCCGGCTAAAATTTCCTGTGTGTGTATTTGGCAATCACATTACCTGCAGGAGATGTTTGGACGCCGCTTACAGTTGGCGTAATGCACCAAGCCGCCACACGCATATGGATGCAGTCAGTCTATGAGAGATTGTCAAATGGCTGCTGAGCTTTAATTTGTGTAAAATAAATCAATGTTTCGCATGAAGAAAGGAACTTTGACATGGATATGCTTAACACTTTTATAATTCTACTAATTGAATAAATTTATATTTTTTTTTAAAATCGACCTTTTTTCTTATATAACTTAAAATACACATTTAAAAAACTTATTGAACTATTTCACGACTTTTATTTTTTTTTTACCTTGAACAAATTATATTCACTGCAAAATTATCAAAATATTTGTAGAATCCATTTTTGTTTCGACAATTTATTTTGTGAACTAAATACACTAAATAAATATTTTTGAAATTGACTATTTTTGCGAAAAAAAAAATTTTAATTCAATTAAATTACGTTTGAATATCAATGAAAAATTATTTTCGAGCAGCAGCTGCGGCACATTAAATACCTGAAAAAATGAAATGATTAGAAATAAATATAAATATATGATTACAAATTTTATTATTTTTCCATTTTTGCAATAAATAATTGATTTTGGCTAAATTTATAATTAACAGGCGAAACATTTAAAATGCATTTATTTTCCTAAGCATTCAGTTCTTCCTACATTAAGCGAGACATATTTTATAATTCACATTAAATTTATTACTATAAATTTATATTAGCTCAAATTTAACGAACTTGATGTCTATTACAGCTAACTGGACTATATGAAATGGATGAATTAGTAAGTGAGCCTCTGTAAATTCCAAGAATATTTAATTAATATTGTCAAAATAGTGAAATAAACGCATGGAATAGAGTTGCGTTATGTCATTGCAATAAGCTCAAGTAACTTGTTGCACTTACAAATCCTGGATAATATGTGCTTATTAATGCAATATGCGTAGCTCTATGCATGCATTAACAACGCTTCTTGACTACTGAGCGCCTTAAGGTTTCAGTGAGCTGAGTGAATCTCAAGCTGCTCAGTTAGGAGTTTGTCTGCATATGAAGCAAATTTATTTATTCTAAAGCAGGTTATTGAATTCGTTAGACTGAATTTGATTAAGAACTGGAATGTCTAAGACGTGAGCTGTTCAGGGCATCAACTAGTCGAGCTCCACAAAAGCAGAAATTATTCGGAGCAGCAGCAGCTCCAATTATTCTGAAAGTCAATATCATACATCTTTGGGGCCAGCAGTACAATTACTCAACAATATTGATGAGACTAATATAGAAGCAAGAGTCAGTATGTTAATTGACAGACAGCCTAATTGTATCCATGGCAGCTGAAACAGTGACAGAGACAGATACAGAGAAACATGTGAAAATGATAATTGTCAATGCAATCCCTACAGCTTTCATACAAGTGCAATGCATCAACAACTTTGGCACAGCTGCTAAGCCTTCAGCTGCAACAGCATGAGGAGGACATTAAGAACACTGTGGATCGTGCTATCAAAGAGATGACTGTCACCAAGGTATTGGACGATATTAAAGCCACATGGACGCATTTGGAATTTGAATTGGAAACGCATCAGTCACGACCAACTGTCCAACTGCTCAAGGTTTCAGAGGAGCTAATTGAAACGCTCGACGACAATCAAATGCAATTGCAAAATATTTCGACTTCGAAGCATATTCAATATTTGCTTGACAAACTGAGCCACTGGCAGCGCGTGCTGAGCGGCATTGATAACCTCATTGTGAACTGGTTTGAGGTGCAGCGCAAATGGATCTATCTCGAGTGTATTTTCATAGGATCCACGGATATTCGCTCCCAGCTGCCCTTGGATGCGGCAAACTTTGAGCGCATCGATGAGGACTTCACCAATCTGTTGGCACGAGTTACAAGCGTGCGCGTTGTAATGGAGGTGGTGCTGCAGCATGAGGATGTACTGCTACAGCTGCTGGAGCTGCAGAAGCGTCTGTCTGCTTGCGAGAAGGCACTGAATGACTATTTAGAGACAAAGCGCTTGGCCTTTCCTCGCTTTTACTTCATATCATCCGCCGATCTGCTGGACATTCTGTCCAATGGCAATAATCCACAGGTCATTGATAGGCATCTCATCAAGCTGTTCGACTCCATACTGCGTCTGCAGTACGAAACGAATACCACCCATGCCGTGGGCATGCACTCCAAGGAGAACGACGAATATGTCGCCTTTGTGATCCACGAGCAGCGGGAGCAATCGGCTTACATTGACTGCTGTGGCCGAGTTGAGCTGTGGCTGAACGCTGTCATCCAACAGATGCGCAGCACCCTTCACGAGCTCTTTCGGCGTGCGCTGGCCGCGTTTTGTGAGAAGTCGCGTGACCAGTGGCTCTACGATTGGCCAGCACAGGTGGCGCTCTGCTGCAGCCAGATCAACTGGACGGCGGACGTGAATCGCTCATTTGCCAGCATGGAGGAGGGCTATGAGGGCGCCATGAAGGAGCTGCACAAGCGGCAGATAGCACAGCTGAATGCCTTAATCAATTTGCTGTTGGGCGAGCTCTCTGCTGGCGATCGACAGAAAATAATGACCATCTGCACCATTGACGTCCACTCGCGCGATGTCATTGGCAAGATCATTGCCGCCAGAGTAGACAACTCGCTGGCTTTTCAGTGGCAGAGCCAACTGCGCCATCGCTGGGATGACGAGCAGTCGGGCAGCTCTTCAGCAACCACAATCAGCACCAGCGGCGCCGACGAGGACTGTTTTGCCAATATTTGCGATGCCGAATTCCGATATGCCTATGAGTACCTGGGAAACACATCGAGACTGGTAATTACACCACTAACGGATCGATGCTATATCACACTGACACAGGTGAGACAACAGCAGCTCTATAAATAACAAATAATTGTCGCTTTTCATTAAATTTATTTGCAATAATTGGGATTCAATTCTAAAAGTTGATTTTCCACATGCCTGAAACATGATCGAAGGTGTTATAAAAACAATTTATATTTGCAATTATAATTCAGTGTTCGTTCGACCGTAAAAATTACAAGCCATACATATTAAATACTCCAAATGCGCGTTGAAGCTGATACCAAACAACAAGTTGATGTTGCCCCAATTACTTTTTGTGCTTTATGAAAATTATGTTTATGGAATGGCAGCTTGGAGGAGTCTTCCTTAGAAAGCGGCAATTAATTCCAGAATTTGTATTATTGGATATGCAGTCCTTTGAGCGCAGCTGCAATTGCAAAAGATTTATATATTGTATTGGGATTGCGATCAGTCTTGATCCACCTATCCTATCTCGTGCATGGGCAGCTCTATAAATTTGATAAGCTATCAATATACATATGTTGCATATAGTAGCATACAGCAGAATAATCATTGTCGCTTATGTTTTATAAGCTCATTACCTTAAAGCTACACAAAATTGTTGCTAGCTGAACAAAGTGCATTTCCACTAGTATATTTTAAGGCAATGCAATTTAAGTCATGCGCTTCATTTTGAAACTCAATTCGTAGTCAAAACTCTAGGAAATATGTAAATATTTGTCTGCAAATTGTTTGCAATTTGAAATTTAAGAATGAAAATTTAAGAAATTTTTAAGGCTGCCCAAAGTTTCAAATTATTAATTACGTTTATGAATTATGTAATACAAGCTTACTTGTAGTTTTTTTAAGCTTTTTGCTACTTTTGTTGTAATTGGTAATTGAGAAGTCAGGCGATTGTGAGGATTCCTAGAATAACTTTGATTTTCTCAGAAAAACAGCTTTGAGTAAATATTGGCATGAAGTTAAATTATTTGCTGCAATAATTTTATATTTATATGGTGTATATATATATATTATACATATAATATTAGTGCAATGGGAGCTATAACCACAAGAGTTGATTACAAAAAGTTCAGCTTGTAGATTCGATTAATTAATGTGAAATATTAGACAATTTGTGTTAAAAATATTATAACAATTAATAAAATCAAAAAGCAGCTACTACGAAAATTTAACTCAATTAAGTATTAATATAAATCAAGTGTGTGAGCAACTGGAAATGCAATAGACATTGTTAACACATTTCAATTATAACTATAAAAGCAAATAAGATTGAAAACAAATGAATTTTTATTTCACAAATGTTTTTTCTAAAAAAATCGGTTAATATGAATATTGTGTTCATAGGAATCAAATGCTCTAAATATTACCCAAATTGGAGCGATTAAAAAGTTTCCATAATGGGCAGCAGTCCAAGCATTAAATAAGTGAGAGTGCCCAACTAGCAGATACCCTGAACACTTTGGAAAAAGGGAGGAGGCATCCAAAATTCCAAAAGTTAAAAAATTTCAAATATGCATTTCAGAAAGCATAGTAAATTACATGCCTTCATCTTTCTAGCTAGGTTTAAAAACAACTTTAAATTATCGATTTTGTTCAATAATACAAATAAATGCTATGATTTATCTAAAGAAAGCTAAGCTCTTGCTGCGTGGAATACATATTTCAAATGCCAAATCTCACTTCAGATCGTCGTCCGGATCAGGAATATGTAGGCTTTATACTTTGGCCTGTTACATATATATTTACAAATTCATTATACTCTGAATTCCCATTTGTAATGGACTTTAAAAAACTGTTTAGCATTATAGAAATTATTTTTATAGTTATATAAACAAAGTAATCTGAAGCTCTGATTAATACTCAAATAAAATTAGGGAGAAATTTAAGAGAATAAAATTTTCCTAATGGATGCAAGGTTCAAATCGGCTTACTAACAAGAGTAACAAAATGAATAGTAAACAATAATTCATAGAAAACATTAAAAATATAAAAACCTAATGCATTTTAAAAGCTTTTAAGCTAAATGCTTTTAATTACAAATTTCATAATATTAAGTTACGTAGAAAAAATAGTTAATATTTGTGTTCATTTTGGCTAAAGACCTAAAGGCCAGAATAGAAGAAGTCGTTGGCAAAAATAGCTGACTGTGAGTCATTTGTCTGCGATGCTAAAAGCGTTGCGTATTAAATCCCAGAAATTAATTAGCTTTCGCAGGAGCCACTATATATCTATACACAAGGAAAAAAGCAAATGTATTCATAGCTCGACGAATACAAGAATAAATTTGTAAGTAACTAAAATAGAATCAAATTAATTCGTCTCCCACTAAGGCGGGGTCAATTAAACTTGATTTGTGACTGTCATTTCAGAAAGTCAAGTTTAGTTAAATTATATATTTATTTAAAAGTAGTTCTATATGTATTTTTATTGGCAAAGCAAATGTTAGTTTATAGCAAAAATATTATGAAAGCAATCAAATCAGTTCGTTGACTCACAAAAAGGTTTCCAGACATTCAGCTAGGAGTTGTCTATGGAAAGGCCTTTATGGACTCCCAACTCAACTTAAGTTTCTTTAAGAAAAGTACTCACTGTGTTGAGTGGAATGCAAATGCCAGGAGTACATTCATAGTTAAAAGTATATAATGTTAAAGGAAAGTAAGTAAAATGCCAATTAGTGAATGTGGCTGGCCCAGGGAAGTTGCGGCTTTAATTTGTTGCCATTTGGTGTTGATTTTTTGCCAATTTGGCCAGTATTTAAATAAAACAACTCGTTAGTGGAAAATAAATGCCGTTTGCAATTTACATACCTTTGCATACACATACACAGTCGCTGCATCTGGTGATGGGTGGAGCGCCAGCTGGACCGGCGGGCACGGGCAAAACGGAAACAACGAAGGACCTGGGCCGTGCGCTGGGCGTAATGGTTTATGTCTTCAACTGTTCGGAGCAAATGGACTACAAATCTTGCGGCAACATTTACAAAGGTCTGGCCCAGACCGGCGCATGGGGCTGCTTTGACGAGTTCAATCGCATCTGCGTGGAGGTGCTCTCCGTGGTTGCCGTTCAAGTGAAGACGATACAGGAGGCGATAAGGGTGCGACCGCAATGTCTGGGATACGTGAAGCGTCCGCAAATTGATTTTACCTTCCACTTCTTTGCAATGCTGCACATTGATTACATTTCGCCTGGTGCTTGGATGCGGACAACGTTGCCTGTTCCCTCTATCCATGCTGCTACTGGGTGCTACTGCTGGCCGATGCTGCTGCTGTTTACAGATGCATAAAACCCAATTTATCTTTATGGGCGAGCGCATCTCGCTGGAGCCGTCGGTTGGCATTTTTATCACCATGAATCCGGGCTACGCTGGTCGCACCGAGCTGCCGGAAAACCTGAAAACATTGTTTCGTCCATGCGCCATGATTGTGCCGGACTTTGCTTTGATTTGTGAGATTATGTTAATGGCCGAGGGCTTCCAGGATGCACGTCTGCTGGCACGCAAATTTATCACACTGTACACGCTGTGCAAGGAGCTGCTGTCCAAGCAGGATCACTACGACTGGGGACTGCGTGCCATCAAATCGGTTCTGGTGGTGGCCGGCACATTAAAGCGCGACGACCACAGCCGGCCAGAGGATCAGGTGTTAATGCGCGCCCTGCGTGATTTCAACATACCCAAGATAGTTACCGAGGACGTGTCCATATTTATGGGCCTGATAGGCGACCTCTTTCCCGCGCTCGATGTGCCTCGCAAGCGTGTCTTCGAATTCGAGAAAACTATTCGACGTGCGGTTAATGAAATTAAGCTGCAGCCCGAAGAGGGCTTCCTCATGAAGGTGGTGCAGCTGCAGGAGCTTCTGGATGTACGCCACTCGGTGTTCATTGTGGGCGACGCAGGCACCGGCAAAACAAAGATTTGGCAAACTTTGCGCGAAACCTATCGCATACAGAAACTGAAGCCAGTTTGCCATGTGCTCAATCCCAAGGCTCTGTCCAACGATGAGCTATTCGGCATTGTCAATCCCACTACGCGTGAGTGGAAAGATGGTCTATTCTCGTCCATAATGCGAGAGCAGGCCAATATGCCGCCAGGCAATCCCAAGTGGATAGTGCTCGATGGCGACATTGATCCCATGTGGATTGAAAGTCTCAATACGCTGATGGACGACAATAAGATCCTGACGCTGGCTAGCAATGAGCGCATATCGTTAAGACGTGAAATGCGCCTGCTCTTCGAGGTGGGCCACCTCAAGGCAGCCACACCTGCAACAGTCTCCAGAGCAGGCATCTTGTATATCAATCCACAGGATTTGGGCTGGTCCCCGTAAGTCTTTGGTCAACTATTCAATGCCTTTGACAAGAGTTTCTTTGTCTCCAAATTTAGCTTTGTCTCGTCCTGGCTGGAAACGAGAGTGAACATGATCGAGAGAGGCATACTGACTACGCTCTTCGAAAAGTATTTCCCCAGCCTGATGCAGAGGCAACGCGACTTTCGACGCATTACGCCCATTACGAACATGGCCATGATACAGATGACGTGCCACCTGCTCGAGTGTTTGCTGGACAGCGACCGAGCTGAGGATGATACTGCGTGTGGTGGCAGTAAGCATCTCGGCATCAATTCACACAGCCTACACCATGGTGAGCTCTCGCATGAGTCCACCGAGCTGGCGTTAGAAACCATCTTTGTGTATGCAACGCTTTGGAGCTTCGGCTCGGCGTTGCATCAGGATACAATTATCGACTGGCATCGCGAGCTACACAAGTGGTGGACGGGCGAGTTCAAGGATGTAAAGCTGCCCAGTCAAGGCACCATATTTGACTATCAGCTTAATGTGCAAACACTGAAGTTCCAGCGCTGGTCAGAGCTGGCCGCTCAGGAGCAGCTCGAGTGTCAAATCGATGCAGAGCAGCCGCTGCAGGTGCGTGCTTGACCTAGTTGGGAATGAACTAATCATGCGAACAAAGCTTTTGGCTACACACTCACATACATGCATGCACACACGCACATACTTACACACTCTGACACACACAGAACGTGCTCATTTCAACTGCAGAGACCACACGTCTGGGCTACTTCCTCAAGCTGCTTATCGACCGCAATCTGGCTTGCATGCTGGTGGGCAGCTCCGGCTGCGGCAAGGGTGCCATCTTCCGTGAGCTCTTCAGCAAATATGCCAGCACACAGGAGCTGCTTGAAATTGCCGTGACAGCTGTCAGCGACAGTCAGCAGCAGACGGTAGCAGTTGCAGGCAATTCTGTTGGCGTTGGCAACGTCAGCGTGCGTCGGAAGCTGTCCTCCTCGACACCATTGCTGACCACAGTGCAGGCAACACACTTTAATTTCTACACCTCGTCCGAGATGTTCCAGAAGATGCTGGATCGGCCGTTGGAGAAGAAGTCGGGTCGCTGCTATGCACCGAGCGGGCCCAAGCGGCGACTCATCTACTTCGTGAACGACTTGAACATGCCCGAGGTAGATGCCTATGGCACAGTGCAGCCGCACACCATAATGCGTCAGTTCATGGACTACAGACAGTGGTGAGTGTTGGCTAAGCCCGATGCATTATGCAACAGATGAGACAGTTGTTTGACGCACGTTTAGGTACGATCGCCAGCGACTCCAGCTGAAGGACATACGCCATTGTCAGTTCGTGGCTTGCATGAATCCAACTGCCGGCTCCTTCACCATCGACCCACGTCTGCAGCGCCACTTTTGTGTATTCTCAGTGGCCCAGCCCAGCGAGGAGACGCTGCACCACATATATAGCAGCATCTTGAATAACCACCTGGAGCAGCCAGCCCAGGGCTTCAACAAGGAGATCCGTTCTATTGGCAATCTTCTGGTGCAGGTGGGCATCTCGCTGCATCGCCGCGTCGAGTATGCCTTCCTGCCCACGGCCATTAAGTTTCACTATATCTTCAATCTGCGCGACCTGACCAACATCTATCAGGGCGTGATGCACAGTGTGGGTGCGCCGGTCTCAGCGGGTGGTGCGGCCAGCAGCTACAGCGGCACAGTCTGTAGCAAGCCCGCCGAACTGATGCGGCTCTACGTGCATGAGGCATTTCGAGTCTACCACGATCGACTGGTCGATCAGTATGACATCAAATCCTTCAAGTCCTCCATACGGGACATATTCAAAAAGGACTTTGAAGACTTCGACGAGGACTTTGTGTTCGCGGAGCCGCTGATCTACAGCCACTTTGCCCAGTCGCTGGTAGACCAGAAGTACATGCCACTCAAGAGCTGGGACTCCCTCTACCAACTGCTGCTAGAGGCCCAAGCCAGCTATAATGACATTGTGGGCTATATGAATTTGGTGCTGTTCGAGGATGCCATGATACACATATGTCGGTAAGTTGGGGATGTCCTTTTAAAGTTTATCACCTGGCTTGTTAAATCTCAGCTAATGCTCTGTCCTTATCTTCTTCTTTGCCCAGCATCAATCGCATCTTGGAGAGCCCACGTGGCAACGCTTTGCTGATTGGCGTCGGCGGCTCTGGAAAGCAGACTCTGGCACGGCTGGCCGCATTCATCTCCTCGCTGAGTGTATCACAAATTCAAATCAAACGCGGCTTTGGACTGCTCGATATGAGGGACGAGATCGCCGCTTTGTACATGAAAGTGGGGCTGAAGAATGTGGCGTCAGTTTTCCTCATATCCGATGCTCAGCTGCCCGATGAGTCAATACTGATGCTGATCAATGACTTGCTCGCATCCGGCGAGATACCTGAGCTCTTTAATGATGATCAACTGGATACCATTGTCAATGGCATACGGAATGAGGTGAAGCAAAGCGGCACCATGGACACCAAAGAGAATTGCTGGCGTTATTTTGTGGAAAAGGTGCGACGCCTGCTCAAGATTGTGCTCTGTTTCTCCCCAGTGGGGCAAACACTGCGCATACGTGCCAGAAAGTTCCCGGCCATAATTAGCCGCACTGCCATTAACTGGTTTCACGAGTGGCCCAAAAGCGCACTGGAATCGGTATCCCAAAAGTTTCTCACCGAAATCAGTGACATACTAGAGGTGTGTACGATGCGCTGACTTTATTATTGCACGTGGCTGTCCTGCACAGTTTACAATTTACAGCTTGCAACTTTCAACTGTCAAAATGACAACAAAAGGTGCCACAACACTTACACACAACGCTTACACGCGCACACCCAGCGCTTGATAGACCGAAAGACAAACTGACCCCCATTCATTTGCAGTTGGCGCTCATACCGCCCATCGGCTACTTTATGGCCTACGTACACGGGACCGTGAATCAGATATCGAAAATTTATCTGCAGAATGAAAAGCGCTACAACTACACCACGCCGAAAACATTTCTTGAATATATTTTCCTCTACCGCAAACTGCTGGTGGACAAAAACGGGGAGTTCGCCCAGCGCATCGCCCGGCTGCAGAGCGGCATGGCCAAGCTGGCCGAATGCGCGCGTCAAGTGGACACCCTAAAGGTAAGCGATTAAAAACTTAACAAATTTAATACGATTTCAAGCCACTAACAATTAAATCATAATGTTGAATCAAGATCGACCGGTGACAACCCAGTATAATTACTTCTAATTAGAACTGTTGCAGTCTAGCGTAAGCCAAGCTATATCATGTCCAAATACTACATTCACTTGGCCTTTATTATTTTATTACTTTAACACAACTGCAGTAGGAAATTTACCACATTTAAGGAGAAACTTTCATAAATAAAATTGAATTAAGAAAAAATTGTTAAGTTATTAAATTTAATACTTTTTAAAAGCATTTCCGAATAATAATTAAACAAACTCGTTGACAAAGCCGTTCGACCCGGTTTTTTGTCAAGGCATTACCCGTGTCGTGGACATGGACACACACATGCATACCTACGTCCGTGCAGTTGAGATTTTTTTCATTGTCGCTGCGATATTCGAGCCGTCGCGTTGTGCCTGTCATTCAATTAGTGCGCTTAATTGAATTGTTGTTACAGCAAATCTGCTGTGCATTGCCCGCGGTAAAGTGGTGCCTAGGTGGAGCCGTGGCGCTAGCCGAGACCAATGTGTGACGACAAGTGTCGATGGCGCTGCTCATTGCAGGAGCCGTTTCCGGTTACGCAGCGTATACGCAATGCTGCCACTGGCGCCGCGTCAATCGTATTTATTTCGTAGCATAGGCGCACAATAGCCACACAAAAACTTTTCATCCAGACGAACAAAAAACGAACGCATAATGTTATTTAAACTAATTGAATTAAACGAAATTCGATTGTATTGATGAACAGACGTCAGTTTCAGTTACCAATTGCGCGTCCCACCGCCAGTCGGTACGGCAAAAAACTTACCTATATAGGAGTGCACATGTGTTTATAGAAGTGCCTCCCACAATTTGTGCGATAAAGTTGCACCGTGTCAATATTGGGGCAGCGTGCCAGAGCTTTAATTAATTTCGATGGCCACCGAAGTTAAAAGTTCTCTCGCAGTTTCTCTGAGTTTTTCGTTTGAGTTAGAAAGAACTTTTCTTTCAGCATCAACTGGCCATACAAGAAGTCCAACTGGCAGCCAAAAATGCGGCTGCCGACAAGCTGATCGTCATTGTCAGTGCCGAGAACGAAAAAGTGAAACGAGAACGCTTCATAGCCTCGGAGGAGGAAAAACGTGTGCGCATTATCGAGGAGGATGTCTCCATCAAGACCAAGCTCTGCGAGCAGGATCTGCGACAGGCTGAGCCAGCTCTAGTCGCCGCACAGGCCGCGCTCAATACCCTGAACAAAAACAATCTGACCGAGCTCAAGTCATTTGGTTCGCCGCCCAAGGGCGTGATCAATGTGTGCGCTGCTGTCATGGTGCTCCTGGCCACGCATGGCAAGATACCGCGCGACCGCAGCTGGAAGGCAGCCAAATTGATGATGGTGCGTGTGGATCAGTTTCTCAACGACTTGCTCAACTACAACAAGGACAATATACATCCGAATATTATTGAAACGCTGCAGGAATACCTCAAGGTAACTGAGTTATGTCCCAGCGGAGGTGGAGCTCAAAGATACCCAACATTTTGTATTTTTAGGATCCCGAATTCAATCCCGACAAAGTTGTGCAAAAGTCCGTGGCAGCTGCTGGCCTGTGCGCATGGGTCATCAATCTGCATCGCTATCATCAGGTCTTCCTCATTGTGGGGCCCAAGCAGCAGGCCCTGCAGGATGCGCAGCAGGAGCTGCTCGAGGCACGCGAACGACTGCAGTATCTCAAGTCCAAAATTAACAATTTGGAGGACAAGCTGGCCGACATCCAGGCCGAGTTCGAGCACGCCGTCGCCGAAAAGCAAAAGTGCCAACGGGAGGCGGACAAGACGTCCTTTACCATCGATCTGGCCCATAGGCTGGTCAATGGTCTGGCCAATGAGAATGTCCGCTGGCGCGAGTCTGTGCAAAGGTGAGCGTAACCTATGGGTGGCAGTCTCTCGTTTATGCGCCATCAATTATTAAATTTAATTTACATTTTGTGTGTGTCCGCAATCGCTTTAATTGCTTTCGCCCGGCCCTCCGGCTCCCGCGAGGGCTCAGTTGAACGAACTGTGCCAGCATTTCGCACACTTGCGGCCCACCACAGCAACAAAAGGCCGTAAATTGTATTTACTTGCGCTCATTTGGCCCACTGCAAGTGCCATTCTCCACTCCCATCACTCGTCGCCGCCCTCTGCTACCAATTGAACAAATTGCGCACTGTCGCAGCCAATGAACTGCCCGTCGTTTATTCTGCCGACAGTAAATAAACTGCGTCAGAGTCGACTTTGCACTTTCAACACTGACCCCCTCGCAATAAGATACAACCCAAAACGCATTGAAAGCGCTGCAGCCATGAAGTAGACCAGACCACGCTATGCAACAAGCACTCTTGCTGACCAAAATCTGTCAATCTGCATAGCAGACAAAGTACCTGGTTCGGCTTTTTAAAAGCATACCTGGCTTAACTTTGCTGCCAGATGCCAGATTTATGGCATAGACGTAGCTTCAAAACGAAATCGGAAATATCATATTTAAGGCCGGCATATTCAATAATATATATTGATAAAAACTGCACATTTTTGTTGTCAAAAATCAATTAAATTAAACAAAATCTCAAAAATAATTTTAAATTATCCTCGAATCATATAAATCTCAATTTTTATAGCTTACAAAAATTAGCTGCAAGTATTCAAGTCAACATTTACCAGAGAAAAGTTTATAATCTATTATAAAATTGCTAATCATTTTTTATTTGTTACGTTTACTTAAAAGCTACACAAGTTCAAATTGCATTAAAGTAACAAAATAAATTTTTAATAACGCTGAAATGAGCCTTATTAGATAAAAACTGATATGACATTGATGAATAAATATGATTTTGACGAAATGCCTATCATGGCGTAAGACCAAGTGTCTTCTAAAAAAAAGTCGGATGCAGTCCAACTGTGTGCAGAATACAATGCAACTCCTGTAGGCTTCCTTCACGCAGTTGAGCAATACGTCCTTTATTCTTCTTGACAATTCCATGATTCATTTCATATTTGAAGTGCAGCTAGCGCACTCGGAAATTGACCATATGAGAGCGAGGAGCGGGGGAGTAATTGTACTGAGCATAGCACTCCCGCTCACACAACTTCTACTACTGCTGTTAACAATAGAAAAACATTCCAAATTTTAAAGTATTTAGTATTTATAATTTGCAAATGCTTGTGGACTTGCTTCACCATTGGCTTCATCATTATGGAAGCCATAAAATGGACACGATGAGTCTGACGAACAGAAGTATTATTTTGATAACATTTTCAACAATTTGCCAAATTGTTGTACTGTCAGTTTAAAAATAATAAAATGTCGAGCCAAACTGAATAACAAGCAATTATCAACTTTTAAAGGGGTCCTTAAATAAAGCATTGTTACTAACTTGTAATTGTACAGCTTTAAAACAAAAATTAGATTTTTCAAATTTTTTGCTGTAACAAAATTTTGTTTAGCATCCACAAACTATTTGAAATTGCATAAGCTACAAAGAAAATTCGACACGTCATGACCATAGCTAGCGTAACTTTGGAGTCTTAATATTCATGACTTATTCCAGGAGACGAACAAATGAAAAGACGAAGAAATAAAGACACGTTAACTCGTTTGTCCTTGCAAGCATTTTGCTAAAGATAGCTTTGAGCAGCAGTAGAAACAATAAATAAACAAATAAATTGATTACAAATTTATTTGAAGTTCGAACAATGAAACTGAATTGTTTAACAAATAAAATAGTTCTTAAAGTCAGTGCAACATGAATATTAATTTTGTGTGAAAATTTATGATTGGGCTAGCATTCAGGAAGGTAAATAGTAATGCACAAAATGTGCTCTCAACACCTTTAGCTGCCCACGGGCACTGACTAGTTTACGAGTTCAATATTTGCAATGAAATTCAATTGAGTGCGCGTGCACGCCAAAGGAGCATCCACAGACAGGCAGCCACTACACACAGCCACTCTCTTTTTGCATCTAAATAACTGCACAATTTCAGACACACAGACAGAGGGAGAAAGATGGGCATTCAATCGGCGGCGCCATTCGACAACGGCAGCATCTGAATCGCCAGAGGGCGCATTCATAAATGCATCTGTACATATGTGTGAGAAATATTAAAATGTTTGCTCGGCTCGTATTTTGGCTCAGCTGTGTGTGTGTGTGTGAATGCTATGAGTGTGCGTACAATGGACTGGCAAAGAAACAGCGGCAGAGTATTCCATGCCCGAATGTCAAAACTGAAAACCTTACTGCTCAGAGAACTTTCAAATATTTATGAAAATATAATTTGCGCTCAACGACAACAACAAGGGAAGAGCCATAGTAAAAACAACAAAATGTTGTGCGGTTCTGACCTACCTGTGTGTATGAGTGTGTGTGCGTATGTGTGTGAGTGTGAGGACTGCTATGACTTGCATATAAATTTCTATTTGACTATGGCATTAAATATTCTTCATTGTAAGTGCATACATATGCAAGTACACACACATACACACAGAGTCACACACAGTTTTACGTGTGTAAACGCTCTAGCCGTTGGCCTTATTGTTGTTGTCGCTGGCACTGCGCAGCTGCTTTTGAAATATATTTTATATTTGAATGAGAATGCTCTTATGCCACTTGACAGGTATTTTATCAAATTTTGAACAGAATATTTCTTTCAAAACAATTATTTTAATTTAACAATACACACGCATACACACACATACACACATACAGACATGTAGCTATGGCCATGTGTTGGTCATGTTAGACATTTGAGTCTTGCAATTGCATAGTCGCCATGTTATTCAATTACCAAGCACCCACATATCAACATTTATATTTGTGCAGGAACTAAAGCATAAATCATTTAAGCCTTAAAGCCATCATCTTCTGCTGAGTGTAACACTTGCCCGTATTAAATGCCAGAGAGCAGCTCAATTATGTCGCCCCATGATGCCGCCCTGCTCCCAGCATTTATGATCCAGCTTAAATATTTCAATAATGGTTGCCATGCAGCAATGTCTAATAAGAATTTTTACATCTACCCGAATCAATTACAAAGACAGCGACATCAACAACATGCAGCATGCAGACTATGCCGATGATGCTGCTAATGCTGCTGATGCTCGTGCTTGTTCCTCTTGTTATTCTTAAGTCGATAAAGTTGCATCCAAGTCGCAGCGAGTGTTTACGGGGGCCAGTAATAAACTTGGCATAATCAACTTAGTAATAATAGCTCCGACAGCTCAAACCTTTGCCAACTTCGACAGAGATTCCATTCGTCAAAGAAAACTAGAGCGAATTTCATATGTTTAACTCAACTTTAAATTGAAATTATATTGAAACAGACAAGCATTGTTTTAGCATTACTTATGGATCTGCCCTCGAAAAAGAGCTCTGCAGCATTATTAGTTTTTGCAATTTCCCGTTTATTCAAATGCAAGGAGCGCTCGCGGAGCAGCCTTCAGTTTCCTGCTGCACTTGTTATTTATACTTGAAGCACACTTTAAAGTCGCTAAGGGACAGATTAATGTTCACCATTTACCAGGTCAGCCAGCCAGCGCCAACGCCAGCTCTCACGTTTTCTGTCTTCGATGCTTTTCTATTTTATTATACACTTGTCGAGGGTATTTTCATTTCGTCACAAAATGTGAGAGGGCATAAGTAGCCATCACTGCCTCCAAGCCAAAGGATTATAACTTTCAACAGAGTTGAACCGAACTTAGTTTCGTCGAGCGCTGTGCCATATAGCTGCATCTATACATATCTATATATATATAAGCATCAGTCTTAGCTACATCCTAAGAGACTCACCTACATCATGTAGCTTCTACTATAAGAATAAAGTTTATCTTCATGCAGGGTATCAAATTGTCGACCTGCCTTGCTCTCATGCCCTTATCTATTCTTAACGTTTCTATTGAAAAGCTTGCAGGCAAAGATTGGCACTCTACCTGGAGATATACTGTTAATTTCCTCGTTCCTGTCGTACGTGGGCTGCTTTACGCGTCGCTACCGCGAGGAGCTGCAGCACAAGCTGTGGCTGCCCAGCTTTTGTAAAATGGACGTGAGTACTGAATGTTGGCAACAAGGGCTCAGTTACTTAAATGCGCTTATTTTGTACGGTCTGTGAGCAGCCGCAGATACCGCACACGCAGGGCGTCGACCCACTGGCGCTGCTGTCGGACGATGCACAAATTGCCACCTGGAATAATGAGGGATTGCCCATGGACGGCATGTCCACGGAGAATGCAACAATACTGCAGCACTCAACGCGCTGGCCGCTGATGATTGATCCCCAGCTGTGAGTATCCTTGGCAATTGGGCTATGAGATAATCAAGATTATTAAGAGTTACCTTTGCTTGCCTCGCAGCCAAGGCATCAAGTGGATAAAGAGCCGCTTTGGCGCCGCTCTGGTGGTGCTGCGTCTGAGTCAGCGTGGCTTTCTGGAGGCATTGGAGAAGTCTATCTCTCGTGGTGACACAGTGCTCATTGAGCAAATTGAAGAGTCCATGGACACTGTGCTCGAGCCGCTGCTCAGTCGCGCGCTGATAAAAAAGGGTCGATATCTGCGCATTGGCGAACGGGAAATGGAGTTCAATTCGAATTTCCGCCTGATATTGCACACCAAGCTGGCCAATCCGCACTACAAGCCGGAAATGCAGGCGCAAACGACGCTTATTAACTTTACGGTGACACCGGACGGCCTCGAGGAGCAGCTGCTGGCGGAAGTGGTCAAAATCGAGCGACCGGATCTGGAGCAAATGAAAACCGAAGTGACGATTCAGCAAAATATGTTTAAAATCTCGCTGAAGGCGCTCGAAGACGAGCTGCTGGCCAGGCTGGCCTCCGCCGGCGAGAATGTGCTCGAGGATCACGCGCTGGTTCTCAATTTGGAGAACACCAAGCGCACAGTGGACGAGATCGAGTCCAAGGTGCGCGAGGCTCATCTGACCACGCTGCAAATCGATGAAACCAGAAACATTTATCGTGCCGCAGCCAAGCGCGCAGCCATTTTGTACTTTGTGCTGACGGATCTCAATCGCATCAATCCCATATACAAGTTCTCCTTGAAGTCCTTCATGAACGTCTTTCGCCAGGCCATAGCCATAGCCCCCGCATCCAAGAGCTATGAGAAGCGCGTGCTCCATTTGGTCGACTCGATAACGCTGCAGACGTATCGCTATACGCTGCGCGGCCTCTTTGAGGCGGACAAGCTGACGTTCACCTCGCATCTGACGCTGCGCATCATGATCGCCGCCGAGCAGGTGGCTAAGGATGAGACCGACTTCCTGCTGCGCTATCCACACGATCCCAACACGCTCTCGCCTTTAGACTTTGTGGGACGCAGCGCTTGGGGCGGCATCAAGTCGCTGGCGCTCGTCGAGCACTTCTATGGCATCGACAAGGACATGGAGAACTACACGAAGCGTTGGCGCAAATTCGTGGCCAGCGATACGCCCGAGCGCGAACAGTTTCCCGGCGAATGGAAGCATCGCACGCCACTGCAGAAGCTGTGCATTGTACGAGCTCTGCGCCCCGATCGCATGACCTACGCCATGGCTCAGTTTGTGGAGCAGTCGATGGGACGCGCCTATGCCGAGGTGCAGACGCCGACGTTTGGGGCCATCTTCAAGGAGCTAAACGCAGCCACACCTGCCTTCTTTATACTCTCACCTGGTGTGGATCCCATACGCGACGTGGAGCGCCATGGACTACAGCAAGGCTTCCATGCGGATGCCGGCACTCTGGTAAATATTTCGCTGGGCCAGGGACAGGAGCTGCTGGCCGAGCAAGCTATCGAGCAGGCTCTGGCGTCCGGGCAGCAATGGGTTATACTACAGAACATTCATCTGGTGGTGAACTGGCTGCCCACACTAGAGAAGCTCATCGAGCGTATTGTGCTGCAGTCAGAATCTCAGGGTGATTCACAGTTCCGTCTCTTTATCAGCGCCGAGCCTGCTCCGGATCCACAATACCATGTCATACCCCAGGGCATTTTGGAATCCTCACTCAAGGTGGTGAATGAGCCGCCAGCGGGCATGGCCGCCAACCTGCACAAGGCGTGGGATAACTTCACGCAAGAGACGCTGGAAACGTGCACCCAGGAGGCCGAGTTCAAGTCCATACTGTTTGCCCTCTGCTACTTCCATGCGGTGGCCGGCGAGCGTCGTAAGTTCGGCCCGCAGGGCTGGAACAAGGTGTATCCCTTCAACATTGGCGACCTGACCATCTCGGCCAGCGTGCTGCACAACTACCTGGAGGGTAGCAGTCGCATACCGTGGGAGGATCTGCGCTACCTTTTTGGCGAAATCATGTACGGCGGCCACATAACCGACGATTGGGACAGACGGCTATGCCAGACATTTCTGGAGGAGCTGCTGCAGCAGGATCTCATTGATGGCGACTTTGAGCTGTGTCCCGGCTTTCCAGCGCCGCCGAATCTCGAATTTGAGGGCTATCACGACTACATCACCGAAATGCTGCCCGATGAGTCGCCAATGCTCTATGGCCTGCATCCGAATGCTGAAATCGGGTTTCTTACCAGCGCCTCGGAGCAGCTGCTGCGCACCATCTTCGAGCTGCAGCCGCGCGAATCGGAGCTAAGTTCGCACTGTGGTGCTCCGCGCGAGGAGCTGGTCAAGATCATGATCGACGACTTTCTCGACAAGCTACAGGACGAGTTCAATCTGCAGGCACTGCTCAATCGAGTAGAGCGCAAGACGCCCTTCGTTGTGGTCGCTCTGCAGGAGTGCGAGCGTATGAATGCGCTCATTCACGAAATCAAGCGATCGCTGCGCGAGCTGATGCTGGGCCTGAAGGGCGAGCTGACCATCACACAGGAAATGGAACGTCTGGACTATGCCATCTTCTACGATCACGTGCCGACGGCCTGGGCTCAGCTGGCCTACCCCAGCATGCTGGGGCTGCAGGGCTGGTTTGGTGATCTGCTGCATCGCATCAAGGAGCTGGCCGGCTGGCTGAATGACTTCAAGCTGCCCTGCGTCATCTGGCTGGGCGGCCTCTTCAATCCGCAAAGCTTTCTCACGGCCATCATGCAGGAGAGCGCTCGGAAGCATGATCTACCCTTGGATCGCATGCTGATCAGCTGCGACGTGACCAAAAAGCAAAAGGATGACGTCACGTAACGAGCTGGCTAGACCACAGTCGGATGGATATATATGGACATTTTTCTGCTTTCAGCTTGCCACCTAGTGAAGGCGCCTTTGTGCACGAGCTCTACTTGGATGGCGCCAGCTGGGACTGCCAGCTAAACTCGATTGTGGCACTGCATCCCAAAGAGCTGCTCTGCGCCATGCCAGTCATCTACATCAAGTCCATTGTGCAGGAGAAACAGGAGCTGCAGCGCGTCTACGAGTGTCCGCTGTACAAGACCAGGTAGAGTAGCCACGTTCATTGCGCCCACAGCTCAAGGCAATCTCTTGCAGGTCGCGTGGCAACACCTACGTCTGGACGCTCAACCTGAAAACACGCGACCGTCCAGCCAAATGGATACTAGCAGGTGTCGCGCTTTTGTTGCAGCCCTAAAGCATTAGTGAACAACATATTGTTAGCCACGTTAGCAACGTCAGCGACAGCGACAGCTTTTGTGTCGATTTCTTGTGAACTCATTCATTAAGTATATATATATATATATGTTATTCATTAGTATTATAAATTCTTATTATTGGCACATTCATCCCGCAGCTAAGTCTGCGTAATGCCTGTCAAGCAATAACTACTCTTGACGCACCGAAGATTAGATGCCCTTGTAGACTTAACTTGCTCTATTTGCAGTTCATGTTGCTAAAGAAGGCATAGAATATGCTAATCTATTCGCAGCCACTCCAGAGTGTTCCCAACTAGTTTGATCCGCATCACTTCACATGACGACAACATATTTTTATATATAGACCTCTTGGCATAGCAACAGACAGGTAGAGCAGCCTACGAAACTGTTAAATAGTAGACATTGCTTTCGAGGCAAGCTCAAAACATATTTCAAGTGCAAGAACTTTATTTTTAGTTGCTAGAAAAGTTATCAATATAAATAAAGCTGAAGACCAGACAACGCGAAACGTAAACAAGCTTCGCACAGCCAATTAAAAATTTATTCCGTTTGTTTTCCAAATTTCTTTAGTTATTTTTTAAGTCTACAAATTTCTCACATTGTTGAACGCAAACAATAAACAGCACGCGCTGGCTGCGCCTGAATACGCTAATCAGCGAACTTACATGCCAAACTTTTAAGAGTCAACAATTATTACACATACGCCTAGTGGCGCGCAGCTGCTGCCCACGTGCACGGCCCATACATAATTACCTTATATATATATATATATATATGTATATGTATGTGTGTGCAATCGGCAGACTTAATTCATAAGCGCTGCGACCCCCACTTGTCGATCACGTGTAGCCCGCCCAGACGAGCATTTCACTTCATTTATGAACGTAAACTGATAATTCAGCTGATGAGCCTAAGTTGACATGCGTCAGCGCTGGTCGGGGGGAAAGTTACTGGCGAAAATAAAAAAGGGGGGCTCGACGGCGTGATCTTAGTCCGATTAAGCTGTTGACTTGTCATAAAGATGACGTGCTCAGCTTAAATCGCCGACATGCGTTCGTCCTATTACGTAAGACTAAAAATCGAACTGAATTTCAGTAACCTTTGGTTGGACACTCGCTGACGCTGCCGGAAGCACAGCTCGTTGTCAAGCGCTAAAATTCGTAATACCCTTTATACGATAAAAACTCAATGCAGTTTAGCTTTTAAACAAGTATATCAAAAATTTTACATTTATAAATAATCTATGAAAATATTTTAAAGTAAAAACTTCATTTCGGTTTTGCACTTTGCATAATCATTTTATATCACTTTTTCAGACTTAAGTTAGGAAAGTAGTAAAGCAGTTATAACAGTTAATCTTTACAGATAAGTAAAGATAGTAAAATCATGGCATATTAGTTCACACCTCTGGGCTTATTCTGTTTGTCTGGGCAGCTGAGATACATTTCAACTTAGCTTTGGCTATTTGCTGCATACAGGGTATTACTGCGTCGAGCATGCTCAATCAGAGTTTTGGTTTTCACCAATTCCAATGCATATTATGTCAGTCTACAAAAACTCTTGCTTTGGCGTATTCCCCGAGCACGGAGCCAACACGTGACACAGTCCAAGTGAACGTATGACCAATCCATCCGCCGATCGTGCATGCTTTAGGCGGGTGCGAAGAGCGAATGCGAGCAAATTGTTTTTTTTTTTTGTTTGTGTTATTTCTTGTTAGCTTTATAGATAAACGCTCGGTCGGTTCGGCAAGACGCTCGGCCCCTGCCAGCCAGAAATTACTAACACACACCGGCCCCGCGCCGCTCGACGCTTGCCGCTCACATGAAAAGTATTTAAATGAGAAATTATTCGGTATGACAAATCAGAATCGCAATAATTGTGAAGCGGTAAACGTCTCGCAAGGCGGGAGAGAAATCAGCAAACTATATAGAAAACATCTGTTTGTTGCCAACGGAGGCGCAGCGACCAAACCATACGAATCCCACTCAACAGAGGTAAGCACAAAGAGTATCTAAATTTAATGCGCCCAGGCATCTAAATATTTAAATCACAGACACTTAACATATTATATTCAGCATGACAAGTGCAAAAATTGTAACACTTCCGTTTTTCCACGTTGGTTTTCAGACTCATCATATAGCTAAATATGGCTACTGCTCACCTACCCATACAGAAGTACAAATACTATGAGCACAACGGCGAGCCGGGCTGCCAGGGGCTGGACGAGGTGAATCGCATGTTCCGCAATTTCTGGGATCCCACCGCCTACTGGATGTGCGATAAGCAGGGCAAGCCTGCTCGCTTTCTACGCTGCCCCAAATCGCAGCTGTACTCCGAGGAACTGGGACGCTGTGTGCACTATACAGAATGGAGCTGGACGGATCCCAAGGAGCCACCAAGCCGTCCGACGAGCTAAGCCAAGGGCATACAGTTGATCCGCCAGCTCGCACACTCTCATTATTTATACATATATTTATATTTAATTTAACATTTAAGTCGTATTGTTTTTAAAAAACATTTTACTTTATAAGTGCAAAAAATACACACAAATGACAATATCAGTACAAAATGAAAAGTATTTTTATATTTTATCTATATATCTATATATATATATATATATATATATATAAATATATATATATACATTTTCGATTAAATGTCTTTTTCCATTGCTTAACAATTTCGAGCATTGTTTATAATTTTTTGTGAGCATAATTTTTTCTTTACTTCTCTTTTTGCTATCAAGTTGTTAATTTTAACTGGAATGCAAATTATAAAATAGGGGAATGTTTCGTTGCTGGAAATAGGGTTTGAAATTGCCAATAGCAAAAACTCAATTATATGCAGGTTGTGAGACATATAAATAGCTGCTATCATTTTGTTTTCAGTTATTGCTTGCAGCTAGTTATAAATGAACTAACTAGTTTCATACTAAATAATTAACTGGCCAAGATCTGACGCACGACATAATCTTTGTTTTTTGTTTTTCCTTTTTTAGGCTGGAAAATAAAAGGGAAAGATTGCCCTTTAGAGCTCCACATGGGAGCCCTCCTTGTTGATCACCTTGAGTTTCTCCTTCTGCGGCGGCTTGGTGTCTACGGGAATCTGCTCCTCAACAGGCGCTGGCTTCTTTGGCACCGTGCGCTTTGTTGTTTCCGGTTTGGGTGTGCTGCTAGCTTTTGGTTTTGTTGTTGAACTAGTCTCTTTTTTTGCTGCAGTCTTGGGCGTTGCTGTTGTCGTAGTTGTTGTTGTTGTTGTGGCTGGTTTGGCTGTGGTGGTTTTTGGCTTGGCTGTTGTCGTCGTCGTCGTCGTCGTGGTGGATTTTCTGGTTGTCGTAGTTTGTGGCTTTGGCGTTGTGGTAGTTGTGCTAGTGGTAGTCTTTGGTGCTGCCTGTGCCTTGGGCTTGGCAGTTGTTGGTGGTGCGCCAACAGACGCCTCTAGACCTCCCTCGACGCGCACATTGCGCACTTTGACGGTGGGCTGTTTGGCCGCCTTGGGGGACTTGACACGGGCCAAATAGTGATTGAAGGGTGAGCCCAGATACAAATGATCCTGGAACTCGAGTACATGTGAAACACCCACAACAGACTTATCAAAGCCATGCAGTGAGCCAACAATATTGCCATTCCAGTCCACGCGAACTACAGTGGTGCGCTTGGGTGCCAGGAGCATAGCCATCTCGCCGTGCCCGACAAAGTGTACAAAACGCTGCGAGAACTTATTCGGGTACACGCTGTTAATGTAACGGAAGGGCAGCTCGAAGAGCGCAAGCATACGGGCCAGGAACAAGCGTATGGTGGGGAAGCGCGAGAAGATTGAGAAGCTAGGCGGATGCTCGTTGTCAGCACTGGACACAATAGGCACCCAAATGCCGTCCGCATCGGGCGTCAAATTATCAGGCAAGCCAGGCAGACCCTCAACAAAGACTTCACTCTGGCCAGTCTTGGCGCCCTTCAGGTAATACTTTGTCAGACGCATAGCTCCCGTCTCGGCGACCACAATGAAATCTTCATTCGGGCTCAAAGCCAGACCGTTGGCAAAGAAGAGCTCGTCAAGCAGCACTTCGCTCACATTCTTAGCTCGATTGTATTTGAAAAGACTATAAAGAGAAATCGTTAGAGAAAGGGGAAGGGTGATGCGACCGCTAGGTCAAACAGAAACCGGTTTGAGCGGCAGCCGTTCGTTAAAATAGTGAAATGAACTCACCGTCCAGACGGATTAGCGAATGAGGCAAATACGAGATCTTGAATGGTAAAGTCTGAAGAAGAATCGGTCCAGTAGATTTCACCCTCCTTGCTAACGGCAACCGAATTGAAGGTCTTTGCACGACGATTGATGCTCTTGCCAGGCAGCTCCTGAGCCGGCGACACCAAAAGTTTCTTCTTGTTCGTGGTTAGATCAACTAGCCACAGGCCATAGTAGGCATCGGCGACGATTAAGTTATTGCCTTGTGTATCAAATGTCATGCCCAGCGGGCGACCACATGTGGCCTCCTCGAACACGTCAACTAGAAGGGATTTTAGATCTTAGCAGGTATCCTTAATACATGATCACAGTACTTACCACATGGCTGCCCGAACTTTGCTACGTGCGTTACGTGGTTGGATGTCAGCTTGATGATCTCACCACCATGCAAGCCAGTGTAAATCTCATTGTTTCGCACGAGCAGGCACTCTGGACCATAGATTCGGCCCTCCAGCAGACGCTCAGCGCCCTCCAAGTGAAAGTTGGACTCTAGGGCGCCCTTTAGCTCTTTGGGTGGGGCAACGCTAAGAAAAAATATGTATTGTATGTATATATATTTCAATTAATTGGTAATCACTTACCTGAAATCCTTGTAGGGGAAAGTTGTGCGTGGGGGCAGACCCGGCAACAAAATAATAATTAGAAAGAAAATCATGAAATTCATGATTCTCACACGAATCGACCGCAACAGTCCCATGATTACGTATGTATGTGTAGCGACTAGCCTTTTTAACTAATTAAATGAAGTAATTTATAGTAAATGGCAGCACGGGCCAAGAAAAAAACTAAAATCGACACGACGGCAAAGTTCAAGACGAAAACGCAAAAGTCATCGCACCGGTGCAGTTAAAGCAGGGCTGCAAAGCAAACAATACCTAAGCCGCGTATTAGATATAGGCCATGTATGCTGATAATCATACAACTTGACCATCAGAGTTATGAGTCATATCGCAATATATCCATTGGTAGAATAAAATAATGAATTTCTAGACTGTTCTTAATCAAAGTTTAAATATTTTCAATTTTTTTTATTTCGCAGCAAAATTAATTTGCAGTATATTTTCGTTCTCGAAAAATATATACTAAAGTTTCGTCTATCGACAGTCCGCCACAATGTGAACAAGCTCTTACTGCTGAACCACACAGTAGATCGAATGCTCTTGTTTTTGTGGACGACGCAGTTGATAATGAGCGACAACCTGATCAACAAAGAGGAGGCCTACAATATGGATCAAGACCAAGATTTGGGAGGCAAACACTATTCCCGCTGTAGCAGCGCGGGCAGCACACATACACCCAACTCTTCAGCGCACAATTCTGGTAAATAGTCATCGTTGTCGACTTCATTGATTGTTTGTTTGTTTTCGTTGCGAGCGTGACGAACAGCTGATAATAATGAGGATGGCATTGAGTTTCTGTTGCTGTTGTTATTTCTGGTATCCACTATCAGTGCGCAGCGTTTTATTACATTTGCCTGACCTCTCTATCTCTCTTTCCCCGCGCACACAGATGATGACGACGACAGCGGCGATGCCCGACACACGGGAGCCACAAACTCGAATTCGAATTCGTCGCTGAGTTACAAAGAGCGCAGACGCTCGGCTCATACACAGGCGGAGCAGAAGCGTCGAGATGCGATCAAAAAGGGCTACGACAGTCTACAGGAGCTGGTGCCGCGTTGCCAGCCGAACGACTCGTCTGGCTATAAGCTGAGCAAAGCGCTGATACTGCAAAAGTCTATCGAGTACATTGGCTATCTGAATCAGCAGAAAATCAGGCAGGAGGATGAGAGCGCTGCTTTGCAGAAGGAGGTGACGGCACTGCGTATCATACAGAACGGCTACGAGACCATGCTGCAACATCAGCAAGCCAATCCGGGACCCGAAGAGGCGCGCCTCACAGACGAGGCCAAATTTCAAGTGGTCAGCAAAATGCGAGCCAAATAGTCGCACTCGAGAATCCCTTGACAACTTCTCATTGACTCGTCTTTCACAGTTTCAGGCAATACTGGACGAAATGTTTGAGACATTCCAGAGCATACCGATGGACAATTTCAAGCAGTTGACAAGTGGCGTCATCCCCTGGCTGGAGGAGCACTGCAAGCCGCACATTCTGCGCAACATTCTCAGCCGAACGCTGCAGCAGATGGCGCAGGAGACGCAGGAGAAACAGCAGCAGGCCATGGAACAGGAAACTGGCGAGGGATTCAGTTGAAAACTTTCGTTTTTTCGGTTTTTCTGTTTTTGGTAAATGCTTTCAATTAGTAAATGCGTCATTTAGTTATAAAAGCGAGCGATAATTAGAGGCTAACATTGACTTTTTGGCTTAAGCTTAAAGATTAGATAAATGCTATACTGAGATAAGCGAATTGCATATATACTTAGCTTAGAGCGTGCCTGCCGCGTGCGTCCAGCAGCTGTCGTACCATCTCAATCTGCTCTGTGGCATTCAGAAGTGTCAGCAACTGGAGCAGCACATTCAATGTGTACGCTTTAAAGCGAGCCACTTGTGCGTCGATCCCAAGCGCTGCTAGCAGCTGCTGCTGGTAGTGTTTCAGCCTGTCCGCTGTCCAGACATGCCGCGCCTCGTGCTGCAGTTTGAGCACGCCCGCATGCACGGTATACAGCAGAGCCTCGTAAAAGTTGTCCTCATTCAGCTGTGCTGCCTTTTTGGCGCTGGCCAAAAGCACTGCCGGAAGGTCGCGACGGAACTCGTGAGCACGCACAAAGCAGGTGGCAGCCAGTAAGCGCACCTGCTCGCACTTGTGGCGCAACAAACGCCAGCTGAGTCGCCGGAAGCGCTGCAGCAGCTGCGTTGACTGCTGTGGCTGGCCAGTGGTGCACAGATGCTCCACCTTGGACAGAAAGCCGAGGAATAGTATAATAGAGGATGTGGCCTTGTCGCCAGTGCAGCAGCTCAACATGTGCTCGCAGGCTTTGGGCAGCAGACAAGCTAGCTCCTCATAGTTCATTTCGCTGGGCTCCCAGGCTAACTTGGTCTCAAACTCTGTCGCCTGCCGCTGGCCCACCAGCTTCCCAAGTGTCGCACCAAACAGTTGCAGCGCAGCATTCGAAATGGTCCACTCGGTGTTGTCGATGTGCGCAATGGCCACCAGCATAATCTCATTGTAGTACTTGCACATGGCTGGCCGCAGCTCGGTGTCCCGCACCAACACGCACAGATAATGCAGCGCCAATGCCTCCCAGCGATCGTGGTTGCTGCTGCCGGCTGCTTCGCTACTGGGGCTGCCATTAAGTCGCTCCAGTATGCGCTGCACAGCACGATGCAGCAGTGAGCGCTGGCGCGGCTCATCATTTTTGAGCACGTGCAGAAACATAATGGAGAAACCGGCACCGCGTCGCGTTGTGCTCACCTGCCGGCACTCGGAGAGCAGCTCGCGCTCAAGACAATCGTGCAACAGCTGAAATGCCTGACCCTCGCTAGCAACAGTGCTAGTGATAGCGCGCGTCAGCTTGCCAATGCTCAGTCCCGCTGCCTCTATGGCGCCCTTGTGCCGGCATCGTGTCAACACGGCTACATTAATGTCCAAGCAGCGCTGCAGTGCACCACAGTCAGGCATGCTAGCCGAAGCCGAACGAAGCAGCGCACACGCCAGGCTGGTGGCCAAGTCGCAGCTTGCCTAAACGAAAGATAACATTAGTTAGGAAGCATGACACGATTTTAGAAACACGCACCTTTAACGTCAGCCAAAAGCTCATAAGCAAATATTTGCGACATGCCTCGGCATCCTCATCGGCCACGTGGGCACTCTCGCTGACCAGCAGCTGCAAACTCTCATCCATGTCCTGAAAGCTAGCGGCTGAGGCTTCCGTCTCCTCACGCCTAGCATTGGCTAAATTCAGAAACTTCAGAACAATATTCAGTATCCGTTCCAGTAGCGGCAAAAGCTGTGCAACATCTGCTGCCAGGCTAACCCTTCTGCCGCCGACCAACTCGTCCAGCACACAAATGTGACCAAAGAGATGCCCGCCACCACTTTTTGTGGTCTGCAGCGGATCTCGCTGAAATGCATCCAATTTACTCGTCAGTTGCTGTAGGCATTGCTCGTAGAGGCTGTTGGTAAGCTGTGCATCAGGGCCGCTACGAACTGCCAGCTGCGCGTAGAGCGAGACCAGTGAACACTCATCCACATCGGAGCTAACGCTGAGCGTTAGGCAACGCTCGCGGCACTGCGCGCTGTCGACGTGGCCCAGTTGGAGCAGCAGGGAAACCGTCAGCTCGAGCGCATCGTCGAAGCCTTGCGGATCATTGAGTGACTTGAACAACAACTGTGCCACGGAGTGTGGCTGAAAGATGCCATGATCCAGTAGGAAGGCGCCCAGTTGCTGGTTCTGCTGCGTGCTGCACATTTTGGCATTCTTGGTGACACGCGTGCTGTACAGTGATTTGTGCAGGATTTCGAGCATTTTCAGTGCGAATATTTTGGGCTGATAAACTTCGCAGAGGACGTCTTGTTCCAGCAGCTCCTGTTGCTGGCGGAAGAAGCGCTTAATGTCGTTGGCCAGTGCATCGCTGCCGGCGCCTCCATCCGCTCTTAAAACCTTATTGAAATGCTTGGCCGTGTGGTTAATAATATTTGGCATCTTGCCCAGCATTGTGTTGCGGAACTCGGAGCTCTCCACGCCTCGGTGTCGCTTCATGAAACTGTAAAAGAACTCCAGGCAATCCTCAACAGCAAAATTTGCCAAATTCTCAACCAGAAACTTAAAGATCAACAACTGCGCATCGATTTCGAAGACGCTGCAATTGGTCAACAATTCTGTGCTGATCTTGAAGAAATGCAGCTTGGATGTCGCATAGATCTCCTTGGCAAACATGCTGAATATGAGTATTAGACGCTGCTGCTCGCTGGATGTCCGTACCGCCTCCGAGCTGTCCAGGAATTCCACAATCTCTGGCTTTCCTTGCAGCAGCTGAAAGAGCGCATCCCGTTGCTGTATGCGCAGAAACCATTGCGAGTGAAAGTTTTGAATCTCCGCTATGTTGCCATTGACCAGCAGCTCTACAGCTAAATCGAGCAGAGCCGCTGAACGCTGGCTGCTTAGACTCTTCACTGGATACTGACTAGCCGCACGCAGACCCTTGTAGCTCAGGCTCAAGCGCAAACCTGCAAAAAACTCTGACTCGTTGTGCCCGCTTGCAGCTAGCAGCTGTGGCAGTCCATGGGAGTTGAGTATGCCGCTCAGCAAATAGTATTTGTTGCGATTCGTCCATGGCCAGAACTCCACGATGAGGCGGAAATAGGCAAAGGCGCGTTGCTGCTGCTTGCAGCAGTGATTGAACAGCGTCAACGTTTCCTCCCGCGAGCCAATCTGGCTCTGACGCTGCAGGCAGTGGTAGAAATGCTCCAAGTGCAACGTCAGCAGCTCTAGCTTGGGAAACTTCTTTACTAGCAAATTGGTAGCCTTCAATATATGCACCAGACTGCTGTTATTATACTGCAGTGCAGAAATTATGGCCTCCGTGCATTTGACCTCAATGAGCTGTGCATCCAATCGCGACCAATGGTCAGTCAGCAGAACAGCCTGCAGCATAAGAAATGCCTGAGGCTGATCATACGAAAGAAGCTCGGACAGTTTAGCAAAATGCTCATCCGTTAACTCATATTTGTGGACGATGTGATAATAGACGCGAAAAGTGACGTTAAGTGCTGCCTGATTAATGCTGCACGATTCTGATTTGTTGGCCTCCTCAATGATTTGGGCGGCGAGCCCGTCGGCCACCTCCTTGGGCAGTGCATCGCCTAGGGACTGTGGGTGGGGACAAAACGCAGTCAATACACAAAACTAATACAATTAAAGCGGCAATGCCTACCTGCAGATAGGAAAGACAGTCATGTTTTTTAGACTTTGTCTCGTCCATGGGTTTTGCCGCAGCCATCGTTAAACAGGACCCGCCTGACTAACACAGTGGTTGTAGCAAACTAATAAATAAATTAAACGAGTCTTATACATTCCGACTACACGTGCAGAGTCATCGTCGGCTATTTATCGATAGCAACGATAAGTAAAATGGGCATTTACGCGGTTATTGGCATGCGGTCTCACTGATTTGGTGCTTCAGTTCAAGATGGCGAACGATGCGAGCAAGCTACTATTATCTTCAAACCAAGAAAAAACCAGTCATTATACGTAAATAAACATATTTCAAGGTGAAATTTGTATATTTTTGGCTAACCAAAACCCTTTGCTTCCTTAGCTACTTGAAGGAATTCCGCGTGGAGCAGTGCCAATCGTTCCTGCAGCACAAATGCAATCAGCATCGCCCTTTCGTTTGCTTTAATTGGCATTTTCAAAATCAGCGTCGTCGGCGGCCCGTGCGTAAACGCGATGGCACATTTAACTACAGCGCTGATAATTATTGCACCAAATATGATGAGACAACTGGAATCTGTCCTGAGGGCGATGAGTGAGTATTCATGCTGGTCAAAGTGTGACGTCTGGCTGTGTAAAGTGTGAAGACGCCAACGCGAACAATCAACGACGTAGTATTTTTTCATTTCCTCTTTGTGCTCAATTTTCTTTGCAATGTGTGTGTATCTCTTGGCTTCGTGTTTACAAACAAAAACTTTTCGCGGGAGTGTGGAGGAGAAACGTATCATCGACTAGTTAAAAGTGAAATTAAATTACCTCTATTTGTACATATGTCTATGCATGTGTGTGTGTGTGCGTATGAGTGTGTGTAATCTAATAACACCCTAACACGAGGTCACTGCTAACAGCCGCCCACAGAATGAAAAAGTGAAAGTGATTTAGGCGATAAAGTTGCTCGAGCTCGGAAATTCTAATCGGCAAGTGCCTCGACTGAGGGTTGTTGCTCTCGCACACACTCTCAAGTGCGCAGCGACAGTTAGAGCTGCTACAAGTGTGTGCGTCATTGTTTTTATTGCGTTTTGCTTTTGCGCGTTTTTCCTTCAGTTTATTTTGGTTTTCCCCCGGCGGCAGCGTCATAGTTGTAAAAGCAGCACTCTCAGCTTGAAAATGTACAGTTATTGTGCAGAGCTTTCCCGCAAAGCTTTGAGCAACGAACATTGTGCACAAAGAGAGAGACAGTAATAGTAAAATAATACGCAATTCCATATTCTGCAATAACAAACAACAATCCTGACCCAGACTTGAATTGTGTTTGTGTGTGAATGTGTACGTTGGTGGGTGCTGATTCACTCCAGGTTTTATTGCTGCTTAACTATAGGTTGGGGATGAAAGGCTGCGTTGCTATTTTTAGCATTCGATTGAGTCCTTTTCTGCGTCACTTGACTTTGCTCACACCACTTTTTTTTTGCACAGATGCCCCTTCCTGCACCGCACAGCCGGTGACACAGAGCGTCGCTATCATTTACGCTACTACAAGACATGCATGTGCGTCCATGACACAGACAGCCGTGGATACTGTGTAAAAAATGGTGTGCACTGCGCTTTTGCGCACGGCATGCAGGATCAGCGGCCTCCTGTATATGATATTAAAGAGCTGGAGACACTGCAAAATTCGGATATAACTTTGGACGGCACCAATGCACAAAACGCACTCGATAAGGAACGGAATCTTATGAACGAGGATCCCAAATGGCAAGACACCAACTATGTGCTAGCCAACTACAAAACCGAGCCGTGCAAGCGTCCGCCGCGACTATGTCGCCAGGGCTATGCCTGTCCCCAATACCACAACAGCAAGGATAAACGTCGCTCGCCCAGGAAGTACAAATACAGGTTTGTTTGGCTAGCTTGTGTGGCTATACATGTTATTACACTTATACGTTGCCTTTACAGATCGACTCCATGCCCCAATGTCAAGCACGGCGAGGAGTGGGGCGAGCCGGGCAACTGTGAGGCCGGTGACAATTGCCAGTACTGTCACACTCGCACTGAACAACAATTTCATCCGGAAATCTACAAGTCGACAAAATGCAACGATGTACAACAGGCTGGCTACTGTCCTCGCAGCGTATTTTGTGCTTTTGCGCATGTGGAACGTAAGTAGTGGCGACATTCGCTGAAATATTATATAGATACAGTTCTGTAGAGTTAAAACGCTGTTTTCCACAACCATAGCGGGCGGTTCGCGTAGATTAGTCTAGCCTAGAAGAATAGGTTCATATGCTACATACGTATTTTGGTTTATATTTTTTAATTGTTTACTTGTTTTTTACTCACTTTCACACATTGATCACATTTGTGTAAAATCCTTAAAATGATATGCAATCAATGCATCAATCAAATGCGCTTTGCTGCTTGAATCCATTTTTCCCCAACTCAAGCTTATCTGGTCAACGAGCAGAAGATGCGTGATCAAGAAATTGCTTTGAGCGAACTCATTTCCAATGGCTTGTCGGGTTTAAAAGTGCAGGATGAGGTCGCTAATGGCAAGCTGTCAACAGGACTGCTCCAGCTGAGCAATAATGTACGTATTACCAAGTTGCAACAGCAATCAGTGTGTTCTATATGTTTATTTTGTTGTGTATATGTGTGTGCGTCCAGCATTTTGCTAATACCATCTAACCCCACTCGATCATGAGCTAATCCCAGCTAACAGCATCAAATCGCAAGTCATTGAGAAATATGTCCCGCTCTCATTTTGTTTCTTCGTTTCTCTCTGTTTGATTCTCTATTTCGTAGTTATTAAATATTGATGGTAATAATACAACCAACAAAATGTTGGTAGATGCTTTGGAAAATACAACTAATTCCAGCAAAATCTTAAATATATCACTACCACTGGACAGCCATCGTGAGTAATATATACTTTACATTGATTTTTTCATTGTTTTCAACAATGGTTGTGGACAAATTGACAGCGCAATAAGAAAAAACCAAAGAAAGAAAGAAAATTAAAATACAATTGAAACTAACTGAAACAAAACTAACGCATATTTTTCTAAACATTTTTCCTAGCAGCTTGCTCATTGGACGATCCACGCGAGAACTCGCTTTCGGCAAGTCTGGTTAACAATAGTTTATTAACACGTTCCTCGGCGCCAATTAACATTCCTAATACAACACTAAGTAACTCTATTAACGGTGAGTCATTGTCCAAAGTTAACAAGTCCGCTCCATGCTAATTTCCTTTATCCACTCTTTTTAATATAGACTTCAATTCAGGTGGCTTTGCCGTCAACATTCCCAGCAGCTCGCTCACCTATAGCCCAACAAATCATGCCAATCTTTTTAATGTGTATGGCGCATCCAATAAGCTGAGCAATTCGCTTTCGGCCGCCACGCAGAACGATAACAATAGCATCTTTTTTCCATCGCGCATAATATCGCCTGGCTTTGGCGATGGCTTATCTATAAGCCCATCAGTTAGAATATCGGAATTGAACACCATACGTGATGACATCAACAGCAGCTCGGTGGGCAACAATCTGTTTGAGAACACACTGAATACCGCAAAGAATGCGTTCAGTTTGCAATCACTTCAGTCTCAAAATAATACCGATTTGGGTCGTATGACCAACGAGTTACTCACAAAGAATGCGCAAATTCAAAAGTTATCTGGACGGCTTGATGAGCTTATGTGCAAGCTTAAGATAGCCGAACTGCATCGCGACAAGGCCAAACAGGATGCACAGGAGTGGAAGGATCGCCACGATCTAGTGCAGATACAACTTAATTTGCCTGGCGAACTTCGCGACCTATCCATACAAAAGCTTAAGCAATTGCAGGTAAATTATATGCCTTAACATACAAATACTTCGACGCTTTCTGACAACAATAACGAACAAATTTTAGTCAAAACTGCGCACCGATTTGGAGGAGGTAGACAAAGTATTATACTTGGAGAATGCCAAGAAGTGCATGAAATGTGAGGAAAACAATCGCACCGTTACGTTGGAGCCATGCAATCATCTGTCCATTTGCAATACATGCGCTGGCTCTGTTACCGAGTGCCCCTATTGCCAGGTGCCGGTACTCACATCGCATACATAGAATTTGTTTCAACCGTTCCAGGACTACAAATGAATAGATTCCGTGTCCAGTAGGTATAAAGTCTGGTCTCAGTGACAATGGACGATGGAAACAAAATACTTTAATCGTAAGCAGTGTTAGTTGACTAGGAAAGGCAGAGCTTACACATATGCTTATATATAATTTATATTTATCTATATGCAAATTAATTATCTTGGATATTAGCAATTACTAGGCACAAAATATGTAATTCGTTTAGCAAGTTGCTATGCATTTGAAGTTTACAAATCGTCTAAATAACGCTACTGGAAACTTCTTAAAATTATTATTTTTTATATATATTTTTTTGTAATATTTGGTTTGTTTGTACACCACTTTTAGTTCTGTGTTTACTGTTAGGTCGTCTTGATTATATATACAACGTGTATATAAACTTATTTCACAGTTTCATTTAGTCCATGACATTTTATTTTGTACGGAAACCATTTGGAATAATGTTGTCCACTTTTATATCTGTATTCGAAAATTGCTAAATTTGCAGTCACTATTGACTAGTTAATTAAGGAAATAAAACCATTTACTTCTATATGATATACATGTAAACGCTCATATAATATATGACGTAACAATTTTTTGACGCCGCTTAAATTTAAAGGAAACAAATGATTAACTAACAACAAATGAAGAACCACCAGTGATTTTTATAAACCAATTGTCTAACAACTTATATTTGTAATTTTTTTTTAGATATGTTCAAAAGAAATATAAACAAATTAAAGATGTCGTAATTAAGAGATCTCTAGGCAAGGTTCGAATTTTAGCGTCTTTTATCAAAGATCTTTGAATTCACACAATTCAAAGCACGTTTGGCAAGGGCGCACAAAATAATGATAATTGTAGCAACATCTACGATAGTATTAAATCTATCTCTGACATTGATCAGCTGGACCATTTGTCAGACAACATTATACTAGTAATTTACTTATCTAAAGAAGAAAGAAAGAAAAATAACTCCTTTATTTCTGGTATTTAGCCAGCAACAAGTAAAAGCTGCACCTATTAATCTCTAGTTAATAATTAACAAAAACACATTTAAAATTTTTTAAATAATTTGTATTCGGTGTATTTCACTTTTATACTCGACTAGGTTACTATGTGATTTTGTTAGTGCTTTAAGTACGTTAATTTTGTAATTTTTATTTAATTTTTTTTTTTTTTTTCAATTTTAAATTTAATACAAAGCTTCCAATGAAAAGCAGGTCAAAAATCAAATGAATGATGAACAATATGTCAAAGTCTAAAATGTATATTGATGGCCAATATTTACTGTACAAGAATATTAAATACAAAATATTTACAACAAATGAAGTGTGTGATGCTAAAGATTTAACAATAAATGTAACTCCAGACAGCGAATTCAGTCTATGATAAATGTTAACCGAATCTAATCTAAACCCGTCTTCACAATATTTTTCGCGAAAAAAAAAGAAAGAAAAGAAAACAAAAAATAATGTACTGTAGCTTATGACAAAGTTGAGCATATATATTTAATATAATGAACTCTAACGTATTATTAGGTATAAAACTAATGGAAAACAAGTTGATCACTTAGGGCATGAAACAAAAACTATCTAAGTATGAATTTCACATGCAGAAACTTAGGCATTTATTGAAGTTAGTAATACAAACATAAACACTCAAAAGATAATCAAGATGAATACAGTTATATATATATACATATGAAAATATATATTTTGTAGCTGAGCAGCGCAAAGGCTTTTGTGTGTACGTAGTAGCCAAAAATTAAAATAATTAACTAAACAATAATTAAATGTGCATGTTATTGTGTGTGTTGCAATTAAATGCTTGAATCTTATTACTGCTCTACACAAGCAAAGCGTAAATATGAAATATTGAAAATATGAAAATAAAAAGAAAAGACAATTAATTGAAAGAAGATTATCGAATATGCAAGAACAAACAAAAACATGAATACAAATTGGTTTTATAATGGAGCTGTTGAGTGCTAAATTCGAATGATTGCTTAAACTTGAAGCTTATTCGAAATATACCCTCTAACTCTGAATTTGGGCACAACGTATTTATAGCAATAAACACAAATCTTATCAAGAAGCACAAACATCGTAGTACTTACTATCCAAGCAATTAACAACTCACACATCTCAACCTCTTCATGACAACTCAACAATACAAATCAAATAACTAATTAACTGAGACATATATACGCAATGTATGGGAAATGTATGTATATTTTGTATACGCTACTGTAAGAGTGATCTTTATGTGATTTTGAAACTACTTGAATATGTGATCCAGAAATATATAAAAAACAAAACCAAAACAAAAAAAAACTTATGAATGAACAAAAATATATGAATATACATTAATGAAAGCTCTCGCCAGCAACAGCAGCTAATGAATTGTTACCAACTAAACTTAACTTGATGTACAACAAAATAAATAAAGCTCCAGCTCCATTTAGAAACAAGAACAGTTATTGAAACATACCCACACACACACAGACACTTACACACACACACACACACGTTTACATTGAGCGTTCGCCAGGCAGACAAAAGCAAAATGAAAAGTTTAAATATTTATGAAATTAAATTTAAAGAACAAGCAAATAAGTGTCTAAAATATCAAATGTACTTCTAGTTAGCTTTAGTGTTCTATAAAAGAAAAAATAAAACTAATTTTAAACAGACAAAGTGAAAAAGTCATGATTCTAAAATGCAATTATGTAGAATTAGTCTAATACTGAAATGTTTGCTACTAGTTGTTTCATAGTTAATACACTTAACAAATTATTTAAAGAGAAGGTGGGAGAGGAGGCCAAGAGAATTTGAATATAACAAAGCAACAAAACATTGAACACCGATAAGGAATTAACAGTTAACCATGCAACTGAAAAGTACTGTCATATTATGTTCAAATCAAATCAACTATATATATATTTATAACATTTATAAATAGCAATAATAATTGTAAAACAGCCCACAATACAAAGCAACAAATGGAAACAAGCAAATGATTTTCTTATTTATATATGAAATCTGTAAACAAATAAAACTCTGAAGAAGCAAACCATTTACTAGCAATTTTTACACAATACGAGTATGCTGAACTATTGATACAATTTAGACAGCTCTACATAAGTGAACCTTTTTACATAGGCTATATAATTTATATAAGAAATTTATAGAATATCTATACAAATATTTTTGTTGCAGTTGCATAACTCTCTCGTACAAACTAACTGAAATTAACACACGCCCAACTTAAGATTGATAACAATTCAGCAATATGAAACTAAAACCAAAATACTCTTTTCATGCGCGCAACGAGTATTTGAGGGCAATTGTTATGGTTCGTGTCCGGGCTAAGTGAAGTATGGCGAATCATATATATTTGTATGCTTAATTAACTTCTTTTTTTTTATAAAAGGCATTTCCGTTTCTACAGAAAATAAACATGAATCGCTCAAGTTAAAGTTAATAAATTCTTTCTTTTATTGGCGTTATCTGAGCACACTAAAACCCATTTCCGATCGCAATTACATTCTTCTGTTGCCCACTCAGGCACATGTTGTAGTTAAGCAGAGTTATTAACAAAAGAATATTCTTAAATACATATACACATACATATATATATAAAGAGAGAAAGAGAGAGTTGAGGAGAACAAATCAATGTTGATATGTAAAGGTATTTCGACGGCAAACAATAGACTCGACTGCATTTCGAGGCAAACCAAATCAATTGTATAATAAGCGAACTAAATAACTAACTAACTGATTAAATATGCAAAGAATTGTACGTGTATTCACAATATATCCATTATCAACAACAAGTTCGTGTAGCAATTTAGTTAACTATTTGCAAATATGTAACAAATAACAAATTGTTTTAAGCCAACAGTCAGGCAAATAAGACTCCGCTCTTCTGTTGGTATATGAGTACTATTTATGTATACTATGCAATTAACAAATTGATAAATACACTATAAGTATATAGACATACAAAGCAAACATGCATATGTGTATATATATATATAGATATACTGATTAATAAAAGTGTGTTTAAAGGATGTCTGTGCGCGTTTTATTGTGCAAAGAGCGGGGAGTCTGCTGTTAGCAGACTTGAAACACAGCAAACGACGACGAGCAGACAAAAGCCAAGGCGCTTGTGGTTCCCATGCGTGATTTCAATCTGCCCAACAACAGCAACACCAATAGCAACACACACACACATACAGGCCAAGTGAAAAGGGCAATATAAAAAGGCAAAGGCTGAACAACAACGGCAGAAACTCGTAAGAATTTTAAAATGCACGATAATCGTTCAGTGATAGCTAAGCAAGCCGACAATGCCCCGCATCGCCGCACCGTTACCCCCGCCAACGCATTCGCTGCCAACTGACAACGGTGCCTGGCTGCCACTTTAACCTGAGCCCTCTCTCTCTCGCTCTCTATCTGCGCCAGAGACGTGGTCCAGGGAGCCAGTTTGGAAACAAGGTAGGCTTCAACTGCCGCTGCCGCTGCTGTTGCTGCGATATCGCCGCGTTCGCGCGTTAAACACAAGCGCAACAATTTTTATTCTGTCAGCGAACGCGTGCCTGTATTTGTGTGGTCCCGGACTCAAACTGGACTGGGCCTCTGTCTCTGCCTGTGTGCGGACGTCGTTTGGGTCCTGCTGCCTGTCGACTGATGATCTTGCGTAGAGATCTCACGCGCATGCGCCTTGCCATGCAGTCATTCGGGCATATTAGTTGCCTGATCCATTTTGGCCATGATCGTTTGCGTACTTCTCGGCTCGGCGTATAAATAGTTTTTATGAGCGCAAAAGTGTTGCCATTTTTCATGTTGGGCTAAACGGCTGCAGCCGCAGCCGCAGTCGCTCCTCAATCCGCGCCGCTAACTATTTTTAGACCCAACATTTGCGACAAGAGCATCAGCATCAGCTTTAGCTTCGGCAACAGCATCAGGCTTCCATGTTCATGTTCAGCCGTGTTTCGCACGCTGCACGCTACACGCATTTCCACTCGAAACTTGTTTTGTTTTTGTTGTTGTTGTGTCGGCCGTCACCGCCGCCGTTTCGCTCGTCCGACGAACGACAGACCGCACGAACGCCCGCCCGCCCGCACATCCCGCCGTGATTTGTAACACGATACGTTTTGCCGCCGCTCTTGGCTTGGATGCTGCTTGTGTACTGGTCATGGGGATACCTAAGAAACAACAACAACAAAAACAAAAACGACCATAAGCCGAGAACTGAGCTCTGGGCTGCCTGCTTCTAA